ACCACTTGTCAGAAAAACAAGCTGATTTCACAAGAAAAACAGGTTGGCCATGAGCCAGCAGTGTGCCCTTGCGGCCAAGAAGGTCAATGATTTCCTGGGGTGTGTTAAAAACAGCACAGCAAGCAGGTCAAGGGAGGCGATCCTCCCCCTCTGCTCTGCCTTGCTGAGGCCACAGCTGGATTGCTGTGCCCAGTTCTGGGCTACTCAGTGCAAGAAAGACGGGGATGTTCTAGAGAGAGTCCAGCAGAGGTAACTGAACAAGCTGCCTAGAGAGGCTGTGGATTCTCCTTCCCTGGAGATCATTAAAACCCATGTGGACACTCTTCTGTGCAACCTACCGTATGGGACCTGCTACAGCAGGGAGGTTGGAGTAGATCTCCTTCCAACCCCTACAATTCTGCATAAATCAAGAGATTTTCTACGTGTAGAGAGCAGGGATTTAGCCTCGCAGGAACTGCAGCCCCTAAATCGAGCTGAAGGCTGCTGCTAGCACTTGCCTGTGATTTAGGATGTACAGGACATAATCTGCCATTCCAAGACATCTGTTTGGCAAGAAACAAAGACACTCTGTGTACAGATGTTCCTTCTTCCTGAAGACCTTCCCATTTGCCAAATGAAAGCTGATAACATAGCCAATTTTTTTTAAAGAAAAATCTTTGCTTCTAAATGATCTAGCTAATGATCATCTATACACACAACCACCACAGAGACAAATGACCTGGATTTTGTATGACTCCTTCTGCAGCCTCACACACTTGATGTTTAAGCACAACACAAGCCACACAGTCACAGCTGAGCGACTTCAGGAGTTAATGGTTGTCAGATCTGAAAATCAGGCTAACCAGCTCACATGGAGCCCATGTCCCAAACACAGAATCACAGAATGGCCAGGGTTGGAAGGGACCTCAAGGATCATGAATCTCCAACCCCCCTGCCACATGCAGGGCCACCAACCTCCTCATTTAATGCTAGACCAGGCTGCCCCGGTGCCCCATCCAATCTGGCCTTGAACACCTCCAGGGACAGGACATCCACAACCTCTCGGGGCAGCCTGTTCCAGTACCTCACCAGTCTCTCTGAAGAATTTCCCCCTGAGGTCCAACCTAAATCTCCCCTCCCTCAACTTAAAACCGTCTCCCCTTGTCCTGCAATTATCTACCCTTTCAAAGAGTTGATTCCCCTCCTCGCTGTAGGCTCCCTACAAAAGAGTGTGAAAGACTCTATTGTCCCTGTCTTTAGGAGATGCATGGGGTTTTGCACAGAGCTCACACAACAGGTAAGGCTGCAGCATCCTTACCTTGAAGGTCATGATGAGATGAGTGAAATGAAACTCAGCCTCCAGGTTCAGCTGGATTGTCACATTCTCCAGACCTGCAAGAGCAGAGAAAAGGAACTGTGCAGCAAGCAAGGACACTTGCCAGTCTCTGCATCAATATTTCACCAAGGCTCTATGCTCTGGTGACATTGGGATTCTCTTCTCCGCCACTTGACTCTAATGTCAAAAAGGGATACAATGCATTAATGAGTTACAAGGGGACACTACGGACCTGCTGAAGACTGCATGACACGAGGGATTACTGTGCATCACCTGCAAAAACATGCTGTACCCAAAGCACGAGCCTGCACTGCCTTTATTTCAGTCTGTAATGTGGCTAACAGCACCAGATGCGGGACAACAGTAGCTGTATAACCCAGCCAACCCATAGCTCAGTGCTCAGAGGCTGGCAGGAGTGAGGACACCAAGCCCCACGCTGTCTGCACACACTGCAACCACAAGGCAGCACGCCAGCTGTGAGCCTCTGCAGTCCTGACATCCAGCATCCCACCTTGTAGGGACTGCTTCCCACCTTTTTTCGCTCACTCTGGACTCTCCTGTCCATCTGGACACAGGAACTGTTTCTTTACAGTATCTTTTTTGATATACTCCCAAACCAGCCACCCCAGTCTTTGCAATCACAAGGGCCTGGAAATCATGACAAGCAAAACGTTTTCCAAGTGGTACAGTGTGACTACCTATGGTCAAGGACTGCACAGAAACAACAAGTTGCAAATATTATTTTGTCATGCAAAAGACTTCTCAAGACAGTTGGGTACTAACTACACTGCAGTCAGAAATATTAAAAAAATCAAGCGAGATTTGCAGCAAGGAGGAAGGATAAAAAAGGAAAAGAAAAAACCAAGAGAGTGCTTAAATTTTCAACCAGTTGTGACTTGACGTGCAGTGTAAAGCAGTGTACCCTTCTGTTGCATGCCTGAATGGGGGAAAACATGAATTGGACAGAAAGAATCATTTGTTTTTCGTTGTTGAAGGACATTTTCATGACCTTATGAGCTAAGAACTTTTCTGTGTGGATGCTGCCAAGCCTGCTGCAAAAAACATGAATTGTTTGGAATGCTAGAAGAGAACCAGTAGGGACGGGTGGCTCGGTAGTCTGATCTATATGGTTAAAACACGGTTAAAAAGGACTTAGGGAAAAATGTTCTCTACCAAGCAACAGAAATGTTACAAATATTACCATGTTATTTTAACAGAGTCAGATAGCTCCTGCCAGTGCATTTGCAGAAATCCCATCCTGTCCTTCTGGCTTTAGGGCAGGATGAAAATCTAGATGCCTTGCTTTCTATAGGAAAGCGTGCCAAAAGCAGAACCATAAAAGCCAGAAGGGCAGAGGAAGGGCAAAAAATAAAATAAAGGCCACCAAACTAACATGCAACTTGTTGAATTTTTTAGCTTGCTGGCTCATTTCTGGCATCAGTGTAAGCGTTTGGCACATGAGAACAGGAATCCAGGCTCGTGGCAGCAGAACAGCAGCCAGCAGTCCCGGCAATGCGGGGAAGCCCCGCAGTGAGCCTTCCTTGGCAGCACTGCCCAGGATCTGCACCGCTGGAAGTCTGCTCTGCTCTCCTGCCCAGACACGAGACAGGCCTGAAGCCGCTCAGGGAAACTTCTCTTTTTAGGAAAGGATTCTCACTAGCGGCAGGAGAGCTCTTTCCAACACTCCTGGAGGGCTCACAGGGTTTAGTTACGGATATGAAGCCGCTCCAGGACACATAAAAGCAGCGTTTTACTCAGCCCTCAGCTAACAGCGTGATCCTTCCCTCAGCAGTAATTACCAGCCCTGAGCTAACAGCAAACACGGAGGTACCGCAGACAAAGGGAGAGTGCCTGAGACCCAGCTCCCAGCCACACCGCATACCATTTTCCGACTGCCACCAAAGCTTGAGACGATTTGGAGCGAATGTGGTGACCACGTTCTCAATGCGATGGCTGTCGGGATTGAGAGTGTCGTGGAAGGGCTCCTCAGAATCGCATATGAAACATTTTTTGTCCTCCTGGAACAACAAGATAACCAGCATTACCGATTTTATCCACGGGCAATAGTTGTTTCCTGCAGATAAGAGTATTTTTCATTCATACTACATTCCACGCATTTTGCCTTTGGGAGGCATCGAAGGTGTGGTGCTTTGTTTCTCAATTAATTGATAAGTGTATTTACCTTTATAAATTGATGCAAAACGCCAAATGGAAAATATGCCAGGAATTCCATAAACTGTACTTTTATGGGTGGAATCAGGCAGACACTGGAGTGGGACTGTGGCATCAGTAACGCGGGCACACCTCAACTCCCAAAGTAGTGTTTCTGGACATAAATCACACCTCAGCATTTAGGGGATGGCAAAAGCCAACAAAGCGCCTTTGTTACTTGGCTGTAGCAGGGTGCTGATGCCCTGGGACTCTGACCCCAACGCTGAGCCCGGCGTCACCCCCAGCAGCGCAGCGAGACCCGGCGGGGGGGAGGTTGTTGGGTAACTGCGGGCACAGGAGGGAGCGGCTCTCCTTCAGAGGGGCAGAATCAGCCCCCATTGTGTCTGCAGCAGCCCTGCCCCGGGGCTATCTCCTTACTTTCCGTATAACCGAGCTGCCGATTATCGAAATTCCATTCCTATCCTCCATCTCCGCTGAACGCAGAGCTTTTAAGCTTAAGCAGCAACGACCTTTGTGTTTCCCACAGTTGGACCCGACAGCCCCACTCGCGTCCCGTCCGTCGCAGCCCATACAAACATAATTATGCCACGGGCGCAGCGGCCGAGCACTACAGACCACTTGCAATCAGGAAGCTGTCTAGACGGCTCCGTGCAAGGCTGAAATAAAGGAAAAGCACTGACGGAACTCACGGCGGCCCGTTCCGTCTCACCGGCTGCCTCACGGCACGCGGCCGCCTCGCAACGGCGCTCCGACGGCGCGGGTCTCCCCGGTCCCGCTGCTCCCCCCGGGGCTCGGCACGGCGCCGCTCACCTGGAGGTGGCTGACGATGCAGTAGGGCTCGGGCTGGCGGAGGCCGCACGTCGAGGAGGCGGAGAGGCGGGCGGCGCGGCCGATGAGGAGGTCGCCGGTGGCGGGGTAGCAGCTGCCCTCGGCGCAGCCGTAGCTGTACTCGGGCTCCTGAGCCGCCGCGACCCGGAGCGCTGCGGGAGAGAGGGGGGAGAAGGGGGCAGCGCCGTCAGGACGAGTCCAGCGCAGCCCCAGCCCCCCGCGCCGGACCGGGGCTCCCCGTGCCCCGACGGCTGCGGGAGCGCGAATAGGAGAGGGAGCAGGACAGGGAGAGAGCTACCGAGGCAACAGCAGAGGTAGAGCGGGAGGCGGCCCATGGCGAGCGGCGGGACGGGACGGCTCTGGACGGGACGGGACCCCCGCTCCGGAAGCTCCGCGCCGCCGACAGCCTCAGAGCCGCTGCTGCACGCAGGCGCTGCTGCTCCACGCGGCTCCCGGGGAGCGGCTCCGCGCCGCCGGGCGCCCCCGGCCCTCCCCCTCCGCCCCGCCACCCCCGCGGGGCCGGGCCGGGCCCGGCTGCACGGCGCTCCCGGCCCGACGGCGGGGCGGGCCCAGGGCGGCCCCTCCCAACGAGGGGCCCCGCCGCAGCGGTACGGCCGGGGAGGGGGCGGCGGAGGAACGGGGCGTCGCGGCGCGGCGCGGCCGGGGGAGAGCGGCCACGGGTTGCGGGGCGGAGGGCGGCAGAGAACCGTCTGCAACCCGGGCTCGCGAGCTGACACCCGAGTGGGAGTGGAGGGGAGCCCGTGCTGGGTGCGTGCTCCGGTGTGGGGATGAGCGAACCCGACGGGGCGACGCCCCCCAGAGATGTTATCGGCGGAGAAACCGTTTGGGAACGGGCTTGGAGACCGCCTTGCGCGCTGCCTGCCGTCCGAGGCCGGGCAAGGGCGCTGGCCGCCCATGCGACAGCTATATCGTGCAGTGCTCGGTGGCCACAAAGCACGAGGAGAGGCCGCCGGCAGCCCCTCCCTAGCTCCAGACACACAGCGCCGGGATGGTGGAGGGATGGTTTGAGGAGAGCAGACCAATTTGTTAGTGCAGCGGGAGCTCTGCTGGCAGGCTGAAGCTGCAGCGTTTGTCCTCCTGCTGCGAGTGAGGCTGGAAATGTGGGATCCTGTGGGCTCGGTGTGCCGAGACGGGTCCTGAGTTCTGCACACAAGGTGTGCTGTGCACGCACAGGCGGTGCGTAAATCCTTGCCAGGTACCGGTGTCCCTCAAGAACACTTTGCCCTCACTGTTTGCAGTCACTGAATGGAAACGTGCGGCGGGCTGCGTCCCACAAAACCCTGCCGGGTAGGTAAATATGCTCGCTCTCGTTTTACAGATGGATAAGCAGAAACAGAGAGATACCAAGTGGCCTGCCCTAAAGGTTAAACACCAGGTCTGGAACATAACCCAGGGCTCACCACCGAAGGGCTCATGGCTGTGTTTCATTAAAGATGCCCAGGAAATTAAACCATTCTTAGCTGGCAGGACAGGTATTGAGGTATTGTTATTCTAAACCTCTTTTGCAATGTGGTCTTTGAATTCACGGAACTCATAGAATTTCACAGTCCTGTCATGCAAATCACAGCTTGGCTTTGTGTTAGTTTCAATACAACAATGCATTTGTCCTACTTAGAAAATGCTTTACTCTGCTGTGGTCGGTGAGCTCCAGCAGTAAGGGGCAGAAGGTGTCTGCAGCATCCCTCCTGTCTGCGTGCAATAGCCGTGTTTCATTTCCACTGGATTCTTTTCTGTTGCATATTTTTCTAATTTTTATTGAGTTTTTATCTTTCTTTTTTTCTCTCTTTCGTAGTCTGGCTGAACTGTTATCCTCTCCGGATCTAACACAGGCTGAGTGTGCCCACGGAGCTGCTTGTGTGCCTGGCTCAGGGATGTCTCTGAGCTCAGGGAGGCCCAATTTACCGCCTGTTGTAGCACGGCTGTGGTTGAATGCCCAGAAACATCTGCCAAGATCCTGTTTGATTGAGTATCTGTTTGGATTCACATGGTTTTGATTAAATGTTGTTTGTTTCCACAAGAAAGAGAACTGGGGTTGGAAGGACTCTTAACAAGTGGGTTTGATCCAGATCAAGCATGTGCATGCAGATTGACTTTACAGAAACACTTTTAAAAGTTTCCTCTCATGGATTCATCTCATCTCCAGGCCTGCTTTATTGCCTCTCACAGGTGATTTTTTTGAAATGCTAAAATTCAGGAAAAGGTAAAGCGCAAATTCTGTGCACACCAGCCATGCACGTGCCTTTGCCAGGTCACATCAAGGTTACAGTTTGGTGCCGTTGTTGTCACAGCAGGAGCTGCAATGCATGTGGCACTCTGCCTGCTATGCAGCTGGTCGGAGTCACAGGAACAACACTGAGATCTCTGTGCCAGCTGTTGCTATGCAAGCCCCCCACCAGGTACAGATGCTTTTAACTCTCTAACTGCACAGGTTTCATCTCCTTGGGCGGACGCAAGGCAGGCTGTCACGTGAGGCCTGCTGTACCTGTGCTGCTGGCACCGGGCCGCCTCAGGATGGAGGCAGCGCCCGGCTCCTCACACCGCACTCACACAGCCCACAATGAGTGCGTGCTCCCTGTGGGGCAGTGCAGGCGGGCATGGCTCATTTTTATTGAGGGAAAGCTGGAGATGCTCTGCTCAGCTCCAGGAGTACCAAGGGTGAGATTCTGAAGCGGAGGCCTCGCTCCCTTTGACCTTTCTAACACTATACCCTTCCTGTAGCCTTTATCTACCTCCTGTCTAATATTAGAAACAAATTCTAAACTAAAATTTAGGACGAATCCTGTGTTTTGTACGGCTACAAGGAGCTGCTGTGCAAAACATGACTGCTGTAAAGCACCACCACGTGTAGGAGAACTGCTGAGAAACTTCTTCAGAGCGCGCAGCCTTCAGCTCCATGGTTAGGCTGAAATGCTGGGGCCGTTCTCAAGCTGGAGAGTGCTAATGAAAAACGTGGGCCGCCCTTTAGGAACACACAAAAAAAGTACTGCTGTGATTTCGGAGTCGATTTCGGCGTTAAACATCTGTGCACTGCCATCCAGCGGGCACTGGGGGCTTTGCTGCCTGTCACCCACCGCTCCTGGTGGCTCAGTGTGGTTTTGGATTCCTCTGAGGGTCAGGTCCTGCAGGCAGCCCCAGGCACTTGGAGGTTCAGCAACATAACTGAGGGTGCTTGGAGCCATCTCTGAGGCAGCTGTCTGGGGATCTCTTACAAATCCTCCTTTTTCAAGTCCCCTTTTGAGTCCACGCATCTTAACATCATAGAATCACCAGGGTTGGAAAAGACTTCCAAGATCAAACAGTCCAACCGTCCACCTACCACCTATATTTCCCTACTAAATCGTGTCCCTTAGTACATCTAAATGTTTCTTGTACGCCTCCAGGGACAGCAGCTCCACCTCTTCCCTGGTAATACATTGGCACAGGCTGCCCAGGGAAGTGGTGAAGTCGCTGTCCCTGGGGGCACTCAAGAAACATGGAGATATGGCACTGTGGAACATGGGTTAGTGGGCACAATGGGAATGGGCCAATGGCTGGACTAGATGACCTTAGTGGTCTTTTCCAATGTTAATGATTCTATGATTTCCAGCCCTCGCAATGAGAAGTCATAGGCTGTGGACAGCTGTGTATTTTTGAGTTCCCCTCAGGACTGTATCCTGATTACAAAAGTTTATTAAAAGTTGCTTATATTCCATATAAACTCATACAGACTAAAAACCAAGAGAAAGTTACATTATTCCCCACACCAAAATTCTGAACACACCTTCAGACTTACATACAGAGGACAGCCACCCTGTGCTCATGAGGTGGTAACAGAGGCCTCTATTGCACTTTACCTGCCCAGCCCTTAGCTTTTGCACGTTGAGTACTTGCTTTCCTGCTCTGTGATTTCATTTTTAATGGCTATCACTTGTTCCTCTAGTTGTCTGAGTTGCTCTGCCTTGTCTTGCTTGGTTTGATTCAGGTCCTGAAGCTTCTTCTCCAAATCTGTAAGAGTAAAGTCACATACAGTAATGCACTTATTTGTTGTGTAAGCAAAATCCAGGGATTAACAATGTTCCTTTTTCCAGCAGTTTTGGAGGCAATAAGCCCATTTCAAATGGAGAATGTTATATATGCAACTGGAGGGAAAAGCCTGGCTTCTAGACGGTGAGAAAAACATGACAGCTTTAAAACAGTTCATTTCTCAGCATGTGCTTTTGTCTGTCAGCTATGATGGAGCAGGACATAGAGCTCTTAAAGCAGCTGGTTTAATTGAAAACATTCAGAGGGACACTGCAGCTACTAATGTGTGTAAAGCCTAGAAAATTTGAATGTAATGGGCTTAGGTCTTCTTCATTTACAGAAGTATTTTCCTAGTACCTGTGAAGATAAACCAATGAGAAAATAATGGCACCCTATTTGCTGCCTGTTCCCAAAGCATGGGCGTTTGGAAAGACTGAAATTCTCTCAGTACTTCTTTTCAAAATGCCTGCTCAAAATATTTATTTGGCTTCTGTCTTGAAGGATTTGCTCCTGGGATGCAATTTCTGCTTCAGTTCTGCTGATATTATATGGCAGTTTTGGATGTTGAATAGCATCCTATGCCCAAGGATTCCCAGTAGGCGTGCCCAGACCTTCACTACAAGCAGAATTAGCTCCTCTGTGTGCAATTATGTGAGCTGTACTGGAAGTTTGCCTTGCAGCCTCCCTGCATGTGGATGTGCACCTTCTCTTTTGATGGAAAAACACCTACCTGCATCTCTTGGTAACACAAATTGTCATCCAGGTAGTGTAAGAAAAGGCAAATTGCAGAGGAAAGATGGAAGGTCCAAATACCCAAATCAAAGCTCCTGGCTACATCTGCAGCTACATTTTTAAAGCTTATCTCTGAGAGCCTGAAACAGGCTGCACAGATTTTGCACACATCCTGCTTTTACACTGCCTGAATCAAATCACTGCAAATCTCACTATGGACACTTCTTGACCTCTGCAACCAACATATGTCAAAAAATAACACAAAACAAAAAAAACATCACTACTCAAACCAATTCAACTACTGGAAAACTGTTTATGAAGGTTCAAGCAGTGATTTTCACTAGTTAAACTATTTTAAACTCAATTTCAGGTGAACCTGGCCTGCTAATATTAGTGGGAAAGGCTTCCAGTTTAATTTCCACGATTTCTTCTGCTTGCTGTATGGAAAGGATAACATCACCTGTTATTCTTCTAATTTTTTTTTCAGCCTCTTCAGCCAGTTTTTCTGCTTCTTCCTTCAGCTGCTTCACTTTTTCTAGAGTTACTTTTGGAGATCCTTTTGCTTTCAGCTTGCCTTGAAGAATGGTGTACTTCCTTTTAATGTCAGTGAATTCCTGTAACAAAACCCCATTACTTGGTTTAGGAGCATCTGTTAATTAACCTGGCATACCAAAAGGTATTTAAAAAAAAAGTGTAGAAAAACCATCTGTTTGAACCAAGCTTAAAATCTTTCAATCTTTTAAACCTTAAAAAAATAAGTGCACACTGAAGAGTGCTCTGCAAAGCCAAGTATAAATTGATGAAACAAACTGCCCATGGAGGAATCTAGAGTGTCAGTGAGGATGAAGATGTAAAGAAAAAAACAGTTAAAGATTTTTAAAACTTACTTACACTGTTTTTATTTCTTTTGATAGGGCTTTTCTATATATTTCATTTTTGCCATGAGACTTGATTCATATGTAATGCATTAACTATAGTTAATCATTTTTTAAAAACATTTTTTCACTGGAATATTTACTGGCTACTTCCATTTTGCACTGATTTAGGGTGCCCAGGAGGCTGCAGTTTAGATTTCTACATTGGTTTCTTACAACCTGGATACTCAGTCATGCTCTGCCTTTGGAGCCGTGGGTGTCTGGTTCTCTTCACACAGCATTTTAGCAATTTCCAGCTGCCTCAGTGCATTCTCAAGAAACTGGAACTATTGAAAAGCACCCAGCCAACCCCAGCCTCCACATAACTCCCACCAGGTTTTTCTCTGATGGTGAACAGCATGAGACGAATGGACAGAGTGCTTCCATCGCTCACATATTTTAATATCTGGTTTTGTGATTTGCTCTGTTGTGTTTGCTGGTGCCCATGGTGACTTTGAGTCTTATACACAGTGCAAGGAAAAATGTCACGGAGTAGCCAGTGAAATGTGTATGTTTTCTTTCATTCAAGCAAGCTGAACTGCTGGCTGCTAGAAACCTTAAAATAAAAAAGAAACAATACATAATGTAGGGAATTGTACATGGCGTGGCATAAAAGAGTTTTGAGGAAAACAGGCTAAGACAATTACACTTCTGAATCAATAATACTATCAAACATAAGGAATCTTTTTTCCTTTAATGTGAGACAGAAAGGCTTACGTTATCAATTTTCTGAGCTCGCTTGTATGTTGCCTCTGCCCCTGCTCTCAGATTTGTAGCTTGATTCCTGTTCATCAGCATTTTCATTTGCAGTGTGGTAATTTCGTCTTCCAAATTGGACTGTTTTGCTGAAAAGTCACTGAGTTCATCGCTTGTCTTGTTCATTTGGTTCCCAGCCTGGAAAAGAACAGTTGGAGGCTGTGGTTTCTTGTGTCTTGTCCATCCTGCCTGCAGAGCTTGGTAATGAAGGAGATGAATGGCAACTGACAGACAAGAGGAGCCCTTTACATGTATGGAATTGATATTGTATCCGAGACATATTTTGATTTTATTTTACAGTTACATTAAGGGAAAACTGGGATAAACTCAATAATAGATTAAAAGCTTTACAGCAAGATACCTGTGAGATTTGTGCTTTGATTCCTTGTAGCTCTTCATTTAACTTCATGAGGGTATTTTTGGAGTGTCCTTGAGAGCTCACAACATTTTTTAGTTCATCATTAATTTTGTCCACAGGGGGAAGAGCTTTAGCTGCTTTGCTAAAATGTAAAAATAGAAAGTGCACATAGTATTGTGTTGTTGAGAGCAGAGCAAACACATTTCAAATGCACCCGTGCTCACATGCAGAAATGTTCCCTCAAGTCAACAACAACCTGTGTGGTTCGTAAAAGCAAAACACTGGTAGGGGCCTTGTGTGGGAGAGCACCAACTGCTGTGCTGAAGGAGAGGATGGATGCTGCGAGCTGCCTGGCAGAGCACTGCTGGCAAGGAATGCTCATTTATGAGGTGAACATACTTTCTTCCTCCTCAGTTTTGGCTGGTTCTTGCTCACCCATGTTTAAATCTCTCAGGGAACCAGATATGATGATGCCTCAGGTCCCACATGGAAGCAGCTAGCTGCCTTGGTCTTTTGTGTTCAGCCAGCAAGACCACTAGCTGGTGGAAGCTACCACCTCTTGCAGTACATCAGATCCTGCAGCCTAGGCCACTGTGGCTGCTCACTGCTGGAAAACAGCAGTCTGAAATCTGAGTTTTCCCTCCAGAGTTCCTAGACACAGTGTCTGGGGTGGGGTCTGTCCTACTGCCCATAGTGCCATCTCAGCTGGAGTTTGCACGCTGTTAAGGGAACAGCTTACTCACTCGGCAGCCCATGCCTCCACCAGCAGTGTGTGAGCCACTTCCACTTTCCTGTTTCTCTTATTTGCATTCAGTTTGTAGCTCTCACAGTGGACCATAACGCTTCTGATTTTGCCAAGCATGCTTGCTAGCTTTCTCGGAGTCAGGGGAAGGTTTATCTGCAGGACGTAACTTGCCACCTGCTCGATGTCTTCTGGAGGCACGCTCTCATCTGCAAAAGAAATTGAGCTTGAGACATTCTGAAGTGCATGTTTCCTCCCAGCAAATGCAAAGGATCGTTATGGTTGCCTAGACATCGAGCTGTGTGGCAGAATAAAGCTGACAAGCACAGCGAGGGGGTAAAAGAATTACCTCCAACATTTGGTGATTTAATATTATGCTTCCAGGTAGTGCTGTTAGTGTTGTCAGAGCTGGGTGAACTGAGGATTTGAACCCACTTTGAACTGGGTTATTAAAATTCTGATGCAGAACTGAACGCACAGAGGGCTTTAAGTCGGTGCACCATGCAGCCAGATGTGTCAGAGCCTATTTCTCCCTTGGCCCCCAGATCAAAGAGGCACTGGGGAGACCAGGCTGTGAGTGAGGCTTTCCAAGCCAGCCAGTGGGGGTAATCCATTCCCTGGAGTTGCCACAGTACTCAGAAGGAGGTTCCTTCGCAGGTTAATGAGGAAGGCTAAGCTGCAGAGAGGGATTTGGGCCAGGCTGAGATAGGGTGAGAATTCAGAGTGAGAAAAACATATTTTAGCAACTCCTCTTCCAAGTACTCCCATTGCAGTACTAGAGATGCTAAGAGGGGCAGGTACACTCGGTCAGAGGAGCCAATGCCTTGCCACATCTCATCACCACATCTTTGTGGACAAGACCTTGGGTGATAATGCAGTTGAAACATATTATGTGTTTGTGCCAATGCTCCAAAGTAACTGATGGAGAATTAAATGAAAGTGCAAACAGCTGTGCATTTCAGAGAGCTGTTTTCTGTCAAAGTGCGTTCATCTAAAACTACCATGCGAGTCGCTGTACGGTACAGTAGATTTGATGTAATTGTATCCATTTCATCCGCCACGGTGCATAAACTTCAATTTACTAACAAAAAATTCATGAAGAAACGCATTTGCAATTATTAGTAAATGCCATATGTCTTCTAAGAACACATAAAAGAAGGCCAAGGATGATGTTGTCAATTGCTACCAAACAAAAATATGAGAACACTGAGGACTGAAATGGAGTTTTTCGTTCAAATTCTGTAAAATACCTTAAATATTCCTTAACAAAGAGAGCCCTCAGCACTCACTGCTGTTTGGATGTAGAGGCGTGAATGCCAAAGGATTGCCAGCATGCAGTCCTTAGGGAATGAGGAGATCAGCTACATGCAAGAGATTACAGAAAATACCAATGCATCTCAAGTCCTTTTATGTGCATCTGATTAAAAAAACAAAAACTAACAGGCAACAAAACATCTTTGCAATTGTGAGGGTGGAAAAGGTTTTAGGGCATATATTGTTTTGTTATTTTTTATGAGGGCTGAAGTTCTACCAGAGTCCTTTGATTCCTCAAGTTACTGCTTTACAGAGGGGATGGAGCAGTTTGTCACTTTGTGTCCTAATTCCCACGCTCCCTACAGAGAGCCCCTATGGGCCGGGAAGAAGGGGGTGGAATAACAATTTGAGGATGCACTGAATATGCCTGGACGTCATACATTGTATGAAATTATATTAGTAGCCCTTTACTCAGCTAACCCAGAAACTGAGGGAATTACTTGCCTACTTCAATTTAAGCAAATTAAGAAAAGATGACAATTAGAACGTGGCAAATCTATGGGAAAAATAATAGAAAATGCTGTCCTCTAGGAGAAAGAAACATTAGAGAGAAAGAAATTGAAAAAAGATGCACAGATCTGGTGGGGACAAGAAATCTGATATGTATGCAGCTCAATCACTTTCTAGCCATCTATTGTTATAGTACATTTGAATACATACTAAAGAAAAATGAGTCAGAAGGAACTTTCCTTGCATATTTACCTGACAAGAAGTTTTTCACTTTTCTGATAAATTCCTTTGTGACTTCTCGGTCAATTTTAATCTGGTTCTTAGCTTTCTCCAGTTCCCCATTGAAGTGTGAACCTTTCAGCTTGGTGTCTTCTGCCATTTTTCTGATGCTTTCAACCTGGAGATACTACGAGAAACAGCAGCAGTGTTTTCTGTATTCACTACTTGGCAAGGTGAGCTCTCACACTATGAGCCCCGAGTGGAGTCACTGGCATGGCTTTGGAACACGTGTAGTAGGAGACTGTTTTGGGGAGCTCCTGAAGTTGTTACAGAATGGCCTTTGTCTAGCCTAAGAAGAAGCCTAAATCAAATATTTTTTTCCTTTGTGCAACCACCACCAAACCATTTCTAAAGGAAAAGCACTGACTTGTTTTCTGATGCAATGTTGTGATTTGTCATTGATCAGATTCATTACTGAAAAGGCACATAATTTAATTTGCCTTTCCATGCTGGAGTTACATTAAAATACACTTCTTAAAAATACAGGAAAGCTAGAAATTAATACTTGTCTCTAAAACTTAAATTTTGCTACTAAATTAATATCTGTGATTATTTGTGATAAGTTTGTGATTCAAACTTAGTGTTTGAATTTAATTATCAAACTCCAACAGTATTTTGCTCGTCTGGGGGCTGTGCTTTGCTCTAAGGAAAAGCTCAGGTACTGATGGAAGAAATTCCCTGTTTCCCCAGGCAGCAAGAAAAACAATGATGTTTCTACTTTGGCAACATCTGCGGGAGGGCCATTCCTGCTGTCCCTGCATGTTTGGGGGCCTCAGAGTCTCCTGACTGCTCATTTCTACACCCGCTAACTGTGCAGTAGTGTGGTGTGGATTCTAAAAGGAGGAAATGGATGCCCAGGCACCATGCAGGGAGGGGACAAAGCCACAGCAGAATGGTATTTCTATTGGAAAATGGCTTTTGCCTATCAGTGTAACAGACATTTTCTCTGATTGTTAATGAGAACAAACTGTGGTTTCGGGATTTGTCTGTTTTGTTTCCTTTGCACATGTTGTGTTGGCCCACACTTTCCTTGAGTTATTTTCACTGCTCCTCTGCTGTAAATTCGAGCAGCTGAATACTTGATGCCCATATAAACATTATAGGGGGTAGAAAATATTTGGCTTGAAGTTATCTGCAAAAATTCCTTAATGGTAAATATAAAAGTAACATAAAATTGTATACAGAGTGGACTGTAATACTCCTGGCTCTAAATCATATGTCTGTGGCATAGGGATGGAGTCCATCACCAGGTTACTCACTGTTCTTTGCCCAAGGAGCAAATGAGTTTTTGTAGATTTGGGGCTTGCTACTTCATCGTTGTTCATTTTAGCTATCTACAAGTCAGCTATCCAAATCTAAGCCAGCTGTTCATGCAATGTGGGGGGAAAAAAAAGAAAAAAGAAAAAAAGAAAAAAGCACCTTCAAGTAATTAACATGGCTTCCTGAGACAAATAGCTAGGCTGGATAAAATGAAGCTGGAGCTGCCTGACTCTTTCCACTTACTGCATAAGGAGTGCAGATGACTAGCTGTGATGTAGCCAACGCTTTCCCTATGAAGGTGGTGGCACGACCCCCATCCTTATCTTTTCCTCTGACTTTGGGAAGCAAGCTGGGCTTCTCTAATTCTCAAGTCTATGCTATAACAGCTTTTCCTCCTTAATATAAAACAACATCCAGGGAGAGTAGAGGAAGAGCCTGCTTCACAAAGGCAGCAGTGCCATGGGAAGCACCAACTCCCTGGTACTGAGGGTTTTAGCATAACTGTTAACTTACAGCTGAGACACTTCTCATGAATGGTGTTTCCCAGAAATAGATTGCCCAGTTTCCCATCCTCTATGCATTGCACTGAACAAATGTAATTTTGATACACATACTTGATTCTCAGGGTCCTGTAGCTGAATAGTCAAGTTAGTTAGCAGGACAGCAGTCTCCTTGGCTTTCCTGAATGCACTGGAGGAGAGAGGAAGAGCTCCGCTGCAGTTTGGGCCTCCCCCACAAGCTGCTGCAGCACAGGAATGGTTTCCTGGCACCCCGCAGATCTGCAATAAGGAAAATATTTTGTCAAGACTTCTCTGGGTATCTGAGATACACTTCTGGTGAAAGGATGTTGGACAATGCATGGGATTTTCCTAAAGAGACCTAGTCTGGTATCTCCAAAGATAAGGTCAATGCTGGTTAAAGGATCCTTTTCCCTGACTTGAAGGATGCAATGGCAGCTCATTGTTGTAAACCTCTCCTTCCAGAGCCATCTGTTGAGCTCTATGTGTTACGCAGAGACCTTTGTTTTACTCTGTGACAAAAGATTGAAACTGTTCTCATGCCATATCCAGCCCAAAGAACATCCAGTTGGTTCTGAAGGATCCAGATAATTTCTCCAAAACACAGTAGCATACCTAAGATTCTACTCATTTTGACACAGATGTTGAGACTAAAGGCCGAGATGAATGTTCTATTCTAGAACTGGCAGTGCTATCACACTGCTGTTCAGCACAAAGTTCTTGTCCCTTCCTGTTCCACAGGTGCTACAAAGGACAGGTAAACACTCAATCCACTCAATCTCATCCACTCAAGGGTTGCTCTGGTTAGGTTAAGCCACTGACAGAGGAGGTTGGGGTTAATCTTTCTGAATTTACAGTGAAGACCCCTTCAGACTGGAAAGTGCTTGAACATCTCCTGGTGCTGTGCCTGCCCTGGGAACAATGGCTGCCAGAAGGGTGGTAGTGACCACAGCTGGGAATTACAGCTGTGCCTGACATGACTGCAGGTCTGTGCCAGGGAAGTGTCCTTCTCCAGATTTAAAATGCACATAATTATTCTTTTAAAATAAAAAAGACTAGTGGCATAAAAAGGAAGTTTTTATTTAGTTCCCATTACAAACCCCCAACACCTACCTTTTCAGCCAAGTGTTGAATGTCAGGGATCTTGACCAGTTTGAGCTGCTCCAGCACTCTGCTCCCTTCCCAGGCCCGTTTGTGCATCACAGTGAGCACGCTCTGCCTTGTGTGCTCTGAGTGCCTTACCACAGGGGCTGTCTCACGAGCTTTCTGTTCTGCCAGGAATGATACTTCAGAGTGTTTCCTAATGTTCTTGATGGCCTCTGTAGCAATAGAAATAGCATTGACTACCAACTGATTGCATTTGATTGTATTCATGTATTTGCTTGAGTGCTGGACCAATGGTGAGTGACAGGTTCTGTTACTGGTGGTTGAAGTTGGATGGGAGGGATGGAGGAAACTGCCATTTCTTCATTCAAGTTTTCTAATCCTTTACTCTGACAAATACCAAACAGGGGTAGTTATTGATACGCATAACACTTGCTAAAATAGATGAAAATGCAGTGGATCCTATGTTATTCTTCAGAATTGAAGTTTAGGAAGGAAATCTGTTTATGCCACTTGTAAAATTGAAATGATCATCTCTGTGACTGTGGCTTAAGGAAGGACTTGTCCTCCCCATTTTCAGCATGGTGCCCAAAAGTTAAAGTCTTCTAGGCCAAAATTTAGATTACAAATGGAAATGTATTACTTTTCTTTGGCTCTGGAGAAATATAATTTCAGAGTTGATGTACTGGAAAGAAAGAAAGCATTTCCATGATAAGCCGTTAGAGCAGGCAACAAATGCTTTCTTGTTTGCTTAATGTAAGCTTTTCCTCAAGTGGAGACTCAAAACCATGGAAAATATTACTTTTTTTTTTTTTTTTTTTCTTCAGTTGAATAGCCTAAAGAAAGGAATCAGGCTTTTTGCAAAGCAGTTTAAAGTTACTGCTGTCAGATCTCCAGGGAACCCAAAGTTTTCCCCAAATTGTCAAGCAGAAGTATGTGCAAAGATCCAGAACTGATGTTTTGTTAGTGCAAAAGCATTAGAGGTCATTGATTAACATCCCAGTGGGCTGGTAACAACTCAGTTACTGGTTGAAGTCAATGAGAACACCCTCATCAAGTCCTGCCTGCTTTTTACCAGTCCCTGAAGTTCTTGGTCTTGCTTTGGCTGAAGCAGAATGATATTTAGTTGTATGGAACCCGGGCTATTTTTTCTAATTTGTACCTCCTGGAAACAATGTAGTTTAAAGCTAGATCCTAATACAAAGTACCTGGCAAGAGGCTGCTCTAAGCAAGAGGCTGTTTTTTATGCAATAATTCCATTGCAGAAATATTTTACAGTGCTTCAACTCTTCGTTAAATGGCCCAAACACATTTTTCATGCTTGGTCTGTGATGGAGTTGTAGGGATTCCAAAGTTCCTTTATGTTAAACAGAGTTTCTTAGCACAGACTTGATTTACAGCTCAGGAATCTGGGCTCACCACATTACAACGACACAGTGGCTGCAAAGCCAGGGAACAAGACTGGAAAGAGGTAATTTAATGAGATTTCATAAACTGCAAGAATTCTTTTAAGGACACTCGTGTCTTTTTTTCTTTTTCCAGGGACTTCAATTCATGATTAACTGTTGACATTTCCAACTCAGGCAGCTGAGTATATGCCAGTGAGGCGGTTCAAGAGAAGTCCTGAACTCTCATTTCACTTGAACCTCTACAAAAAGAGGTAGGTGGGAGCCCATTTGCCTATGTGTGCCTGGGGCACAGGTGTCAAATGTCCCCCAGATAGAGTACCTGGCATATCCTCCATCCTGCTCTGCCCCACTTCCTTGGGCCAACAAAAAAGCATGACAAAAAAAGCAGACAGGGCCATAGTCTGAATCATCCTGAAATGATAAAGGGATGAGGGAACCAGGCTTTCTCCCAGGCACTGGGGAAGCTGGCTTTCTTGAGGCAAATGTTATTTCTGTACTGCTAGATGTTTGGTAGCAGGACGAATGAATATTTGTGGCCCTGACCAACAATTCAACTTAAATTCAGGGTCTTCCCGCACCCCTGTGTGCTTTTTATAGGGCTGTTTATCTGCTCCCAGAGGCCAAAAGATGAAAAAGCTTTGGAATGTGACCAGAGAGCACCGCAGATGCTTCAGCTGCGCATCCACTGACCTCACTGGGATTTATTGTTTCTTTGCCTTCCTGCCTTCTCACAGTCAGCACAAGACCCGGTCGAATCAGGACGTGGTGACTGTGATGACTGTGCTGACTGCATATGTGGGACTTGAATAGAAGACTGGTCCCCCAGGCACTGCCAAGTATAACAGTGCAAAGAAGCCCTAAATCTTAATTAATCCCTCTTATCCCTTTTCCTTTCCCTTGGCTTTATATACCATTGATCCTCCCTTCATTTTTTCAGTCCTGTTTAGTCCAGTCTTCTTCTTGCTTGTACAAAGCATGAAAGATCTTGAAGCGGGTTTGCACTGCCTTTAAATTCTATTTTCTGTGCTCACTGTAACATCTGGGGGTTCATACCTTAGCAGCCACCACTCTGGTCAGATAGTGGAGTGTATACTGCTGACAGTCTCCTGCTGTTTTGGATCTAGTTAGTATCTGATCAAGATCCCTGAATCATACGTTCCTGTGTTTTTCCAGAATTCATGAAGCCTGTGACATTGTTATTACTGCCATTAGCAGCTGATAGAGACTATACTTAGCTCAAGCGCAGACAGTGTAATTATTTTAAAAATGCCAAGGAACTCAGTTCTGTTTTCACATTTTGTGATGATGGAGAGCCAGTTCCTTACCACATAAAGTCATGTATTTTCCCATGGGAACACTGAGAAGTTGTTCTACGACTCTCTGCTTTAATTAAACAAACCATTACTAGACAACATTTTTAAAGTATTGCTAAGAGCAATAGCAGTCAGAAACAGGGAAAACATCCTTTGCTCTTCTACTGTATGAACTGAGAGTCTATAGAGCGAAACCAGGTGGCCTTTAAATCCTGATAGAAACATCAGTGCTCGTGAGATTTTTGACTAATTTGATCATGCATATACCTGCATCTGAAATGTAGGATGCTAGAAATCAAAGAAAAAAAAAAATAAAACACAATGGAGTTCAGGAAGTTACTATAATAAAGCTTATAGTATTTGGATTTTTGTAGTACCACATGGAACTAAAATCTAAAGATCTTTGAAATGTTGTATGGCTCAATAGTGAGAAAAACATTGTGAAATTTCATGGCATTTGTTCATCTATTTTAGTACTGGCTGCCTTACCTTTGAGGCTCAAGTAATGAAAAGTGCGATGCAGATCTAATTTCTGTTGTAGAAGTTCATAGACACGATCAGCTTCTTCACCAATGTCTTCAATGTTCTCAGTGAAGTCAGGAAATTCATACGGCATACTACGAATCAGACCCATTTGTGCAATTTGCTGTCTACAAGGGAAGTGACAGTTATGCAGAAGTCAGACTGAATTGCTCTTAAACAACTGAGGTACACGCTATTTTAGAGGACAAGAGATAAATTTCTAAATGAGCAGAAATATTTACTTGTAATGGCTTACTTAGGAAATCATTAGGAACAGGAAAATTCCAACATTTACTTTTATGCTTTAGGGAGGAGCCGTATGTGAAATAATCAGAGAACAGAATCATAGAATCCTTAGAGTCGTAAGGGGGCCTTTAAATGGCATCTAGTCCAATTTCCCTTTGATAAACAGGGACACATACATATACCTCTCTGTATATCTATATAGGTTATTTTGTTCATGGATCTACTGATTAGATTAGTGCCCCAGCATCTTTTTCTGATCAGAAGAGGGATTTGAAGAGTAGGGCATGGCTGGTGAAGCCTGGGGGAAGACTGCTTTGTCAGTTAAGGGATTTTAGCGGGGCAGCAGAGCCCTTACTGAACATAGCCATGAAAATCCTTGATGCTTGAGAGTGCCTCCCATGAAAAAACAGGATGTTTCAAAATTCTTTCAATTTCAGAAATGGCATCTTCAAAGGCTTTGAATCGCATGTCACAGCTGGGCATCCGTCCTCCTTTATCTTCTAGGCTTGCAGCAAACCTCATTAACCCTTGAACAGTCTGGGCGAGGGCAGTAATTTCAGTGTCCCACTCATCAAAACAAAGATGACACTGATGGCAAGAGGGAAAGTCTTTCTCGAAGCCACGGCCACACTGGTCACAGAACCGCCCAGTGACACCAACACGGCAGTTACACACACCAGTGGCTTTGTCACACCGGGGCCAGCTGGTTCCCTCTGGGTTACAGTTGCATGCTGCAAGAAAGGGAAAGCAAGTTATATGCAATTGTTCCTTCTCTGCAGGAGTAAGGCATAAGGCACAATCACGTATTTTAACGCAATAAACAGAAACTGGTTTTCTTCGCTGCTCTTTGAGCCCGCTTGGCTGGATCTGCCAAGGGACAACATTACCTTGCTGGGCAGGACTCTGATGTATGGGGTTTATTTTTCTTGATGGGTTTCTACTAGAGCTTTCTACTTGGAACAAGTTGGAGTGTTCCCCCACTGTGCCCAACTCTGCTATTCTAGCATTGTCTCCCTGTTCTTTTACACTGAAGGGAAAAACAGGCTAACTTCAGCCACCCAAAGGCCACCATGTATCGTGTGCCAGTCATCTAGGCTCCTTCACTGGCAGAGAAGAGAAGCAGGTGCACCTAAAAATCAATCTAAATCAGAACTCATAGAATCATACTACATTCCATTTGGAAGGGACTCACAAGGATCATCAAGTCCAACACAGCACCACCTAAAATTCAAACCCTATGTCTGAGAGCATTGTCCAAACACTCCTCAAACTGGCAGCTTGGGGCTGTGACCACTGCCCTTGGGAGCCCATTTGACTCTCTCAATGAAGAACACTTTCCTAATATCCAATCAGAACAGCAAAAGCTGGACAAAAAACACTCTTTGGAGCCACTTATCTACCTGCACTGCCTGGAAAATTCACCACTGATCAGAGGAGCTCTGACTAGGTCTGACTAGGCTTTGGAACAGCTAATGTCAGGTGAGATAAATCCCTTCTGATACCTCATCCCAGTGCTTCCTGGGCTGGGGAGCTGTGTGCTGAGAGCTGAACTACATACTCACTCTGCAGCCTTCAGCTAGCACAGCCCATTTCTAAATATTAGAGAATGAAACCAATGTTCAAGTCAAAATGAAGGGGATGGCCTGTCTAATGGCTTTTCTTCAGCTCTTGATTCCATGGTTGCACCAAAACTGCAGAAGGAACAACACTGACAAACAATATAAACAACTTAATCATTTCATACACTGAAATGTATCTGTTTCTCTGGATATAAGTTCTGTCTCCTCTATGAATAAAGGACAAACATTTATTTTGAGACAGTTTCTAACCCAGTTATAATACTTACAAATGCAGTGCTTCTGGGGATTGCCAAAGTAGTTTTCCTCACATTCATCGCAGCGTTTCCCACCATAGCCTACCTTACACAGACACTGGCCTGTAAGCTGGAAACAGTTCAAGATTTAACAACTGCCCATGTAGTATGACTGCATATACATTATTTACTGGATTTCTTCTTTGCTCTGTGACTTTTATTATACAGCTACATGGGGACCATAGTGACACTGCTTCTGCACGTTGTTTGAACATGGTTTAACATGATAAGCTTTCTTTACCATCTTCATACTGAAGGCTGTTAAAAGAAATTTACTCTGAGAGCTGGCTTTTCTTTATTAATATGAGCGGTTTCGTATGGTCCAGTCTGATCTTTGAGAACTCATCCTCTGACTGTTATCTGAGAGAGGATTTTTTCTTCTTTTGCAGAAAAGATTAATGGCTTATTTTTGCTGGAACAAAATACTCATCTTAACATTTCAACTTTTAACTACATGATATATATGCTGCAATGGAAAACCTCCAGGGTACATTATGCACATTGCCCTAGAAAAATTTGTTTTGGAATTCAGTGCTGAAATTAAACTGCAGGGAATTACAGCTCTGATAACTCCAAAAAAGCAATAGTAGTTCTTCTGTGTGAAGGGCTACATTTCATAGGAAAAATAATAGCTCCACTAAGTAAACCAGGATAAACAGCATATCGAAAGGAAAATGTGAAAGCACATCAGCAAGAGCTTGATGCAATGTCCTGGTGCTATGAAGTCAATAGAAAAATGGCTGCCTTCTGCATGGACCACAATTTTAGCTCTCTATTCTGAAGTACTGTTTTATTTTTTCTACTTTCTTGCTCTAGAAAGTGCCCAAGAATTAAAAACAAGAAAAGATACAGTAGTAGCCAGATTGATGATGTATGACTGATGTAATGACCACTGATCTTTGTGAAAAGAAACCCTTGAAAAACCAAACACGTGCAAGACTCTTAGGTGCAAGCCTGGACTTCCTCCTTCCCTGTATGTCTGCTTATGGGGCAGTTTTTCCTTGCATCATTTTCTCATGTATTTCTATGATCCACTTTAAAAGAAAACACACAGGCAAAGAGTAATTGCTTACAAGTAAAGCCACAGTATCAGAACAGCACATTTGATATAATGGCTCCAGGCCAGATTACACCAACCACGAATTTCCAAAGACTTGTTGTTTCTGGGAAGCATGACAAAAATCCATCCTCATATGAGAAGGTCCCAACCGTTTCATACCAAAACATTGCCCTCCCGGTTCCCAGAGAGCAAAGTAATTTCCTTACCTGGTCACATTGGTTACTTTGGGTGTTTTTCGTGTCACAGTCACAGAGCTGACATCCTTTTCCACCAGCCAGGTCCCAGTAGCCTGGCGCACACTGGTCGCATGTTGTACCAACCACGTTGGGCTGACATGGGCAAGCTCCGGTGGCCGGGTCACACAGGCAGGCTGCATCCTCCCCAGGGCATGTGGCAGGGAGGACACCTGCAGGATTGCACTTGCAGACTGAAAAGAGAAGGACAACTTCTACAGCAGATGGTGATTCAAACAGCTGATGGACAATCAGAACTGTACATGGAAGCACAGAAGTAGGCTTAAAGAATGGTTTGGGTTGCAAGGGATCTTCAGTATCTACCTAATCCAATCCCTTGCTATTGGCAGGAGCACATTCCACTAGATCAGGCTGCTGAAAACCCCATCCAATATGGCCTTTAATGCTTCCAAGGATCCACAGCATCTTTGTGCAACCGGTTCCAGTATCCCACCATCTTTGTTGTGAAATTTTTCTTCTTTATATCTTATCTAAATCTGCCATTTTTCAGTTTAAAACCGTTACCCTTTGTCCTGTTAGTACAGACTCGGGTAAAAAGTCTTTCTCCATCTTTCTTATAAGCACCTTTTAAGTACTGGAAGACTCCAGTGAGGTCTCCTCAGAACCTTCTTCAGGATGAAGCCCAGCTCCCTCAGCCTATCTTCATAGGAGGGGTGCTGCAACCCTCTGAAAATCTTTGTGGCCTCCCCTAAACCCGCTCCAACAGCACCCCATGCTTCTTGTGCTGGGAGCCCCAGGCCTCGACACAGTACTGCAGGTGGGTCCTCATCAGGGTGGAATAAGGGAAATAATCACCTCCCACAACCTACTAGCTACATTTCTTTTGATGCAGCTCAGGATACGCTTGGCTTTCCAGGCTGCAAACGCACACTGTTGGCTTATATCCTATATTTTATCTACTTGGGACTACTCCCAAGTCTTCCTCTTTCTATTGTGGTTTGTCTACAGCTTTGAACAAACTCAGTGAGAGCTTTTACTACTTTTAATATCGGCACAAAAAACTGAAGTGTAGTGAATTTTGAATCTTGTTAGCATGAAATGCTAAATACGTTGGATAAGGAAATGCTGATTTACAGTAGACACTATGCAGTGTGGGAAACCCCAATAAAGGGTAAGCCAAGTAAGATAAGAAGCCTTCCTTGTGAGAAGCCAAAAGTTCTTGCTAAATTATTTCTAGCTGACATCTTCCAAAGATGAATGAGGTATGGGCTTGAACTGTTTTTCAGAGATTTCCAGAAAAAGGACTTCTTGAAAATAGTTACGTTTTCTGGCCTGTACAAATTAGATCATCAATTAACATTAGTGAAAACGACCTTTTATAAACTCTGAGGGGAAACTTATGCTCTGCATTTACTTGTACTCCTTCCTTTCTGCTCAAAATGCTGTTATTAGCAGTGCTCTCATGAGGACTATTAAACTGCCTGAGCAGCCTCTTTCTAGCTGTATCATTAAAACAACTGGCAAGGCAGGGAGCTCAGCAGGGGATCATCTGGTTAACTGAGCATTGCTTAGCTGGCATCAGCCTGCAAGATGGATAAACAATTATCTTTGATTCTTTTAATTTTAATTTCTTCCTGACTGGGATGAATGCACATTTATTTTTCAACAGAGAATAGTGCTTTCAGTTCAGGTGAGCATTTTCTAGGGTTGATATTCAGCATAAGATTAAGGCAGACCTGCATGAAAAACACAGATATTTCTAGCACTGGGAAGGAATTTCTTCCGTACTTGCATATTTGGTCTACTTTTTTTTTTTGTCCCCCTAAGGGCTAACCTCTCCCTCTAAGCCTAATTTCCTTGTAACCTCTCCTGCTGGCAATATGCAGTTGCAAAGCTGTTGCCCACTTACTTCGGCAGTCCTGATCGAGGGCTGAGCCAAAATACCCAGGTTTGCAGAACTGGCAGTTTGCTCCATGGGTGTTGTGCAAACACTTGACGCATTCCCCGGTGACCCTGTTACAGGACTCCGGGTCTGTCACATCAATGTTGTTGTTACAGGGACATGGTGCACATTCCTCCCCCGGGCTTCCTGGGATTTTGTAGAACCCGCTAGGACATTCATCACACCGGCTGCCTGTCAGACAGGAAGGTACAAACATGTGCTGCCTAATGAGAATTCAAGTGGATCATGCAGTTTCTAATAATACTGCAAAAAGATTTAGACCGTCTATTCAAATGCATGGTTTCAATGGGAAATACCCATCTGTTTGAAATCTTTAATAATCCTATGATCAGTTAAAATTATCTCTCTCATACTGCAATCTGATGGAAATGCACCCTCCTCACTGCAAGGGGCAAGTTGGTGTGCAAGTTGGTGACCTTGTCCAGTGGTTCATCCTTGCCCGAAGACTCTGCTCCTTCATCACTGTTCCCAGGTCCAGAGCCTTCCCCATTCTCCAGAAGGGTGAGTCTGGAGCCACAGGAGTGACCAAGAGCCTCACCAGGATGGAACAAGAGGAAGAACGTTCAGAACTGAGGATATCAGAGGTCTGTGAGGACAGCAGTCCCCTGGGAAAGTACCAACAAGAATCATTTTGGCCTGGCAGTGTTTCTTCAGGCAAAGCTGCTCTTGACTTATAAAGGAACCTGGCTTAAAAAAAGGTGAAATCATTTGTTTGGTTTTAGCTCCATTGCAGGAGATGTTCATAACGAACAGGGGAAGAAAGTGCTTCAAATTTTCCCTGTGGAAATTCAAAGTTAGTCAATGGGATCTTTGAAAGCAAGGCATCAGTTTGCTGCAAAAACAGCTGTTTTGGGGACAGCCAAGAATGCCCCTCTCTGCAGCAGCTACTCCAACAGTGACACAGTCACTTCTGGGCATAATGTCAAAGCACGTCTTTATTTTGCTCCTTACCTGAATATCCCTCAAGACAATTGCAGACTATTTGTGAAGTCTGGGAGTCCTGGTAACAGGAATGTGCAAAAAACCTCTTGCTTGTAGGTACTCCTGGGCACATGCATGGGCGGCAGGGTTCTCTGTTGGAAGGGTTTCCATAATAGCCATTGATGCACCTGTCAAAGCAGTCAAAAATATATACATATATTGAAATCATCCGTGCTCTGTCTGCCATGTTCTGCAAACCTGGGGTGACTGATGGCTCCTCTGAGGCTGCAGTCTGTCCAGACAGACAGGCAACACAGAGACTTCTGAAGCATCATTGGTCTTTAATCTGCTTTACTATAGCAAATGGGAGAACAATTCTGTATATTTATACAGGCCATGCTGAAGGTCTTGGATCTCTGATTATCCTCATCCTGGGGTGTGGATCTCCTGTGGAGGCACGGCGGCAAGTTTTTCAGTCTTTTTTAATCCACTTGCTACCTACATGCATAATAGCTAAAGGTAGTATTGTCCAAATGTATTGCAAGAACAGCTCAATGGGTTTCATTGTGAAATCCTCTTAAAAGGCAACAACACGGCACATTCTAGCCAAATCAAACTAATCAGCCAATGAATTCAGTTCTGATGTCCACACTGAACTCTATACCTCTACCAGAGCATAAAATTAAAAAGGAGCATTGTTTGGAGTGGGGACGGAAACATGTGGGAAAAGTCAATTGCTGGTCATACAGAAATGATACGAATCAGCAAACAGGGCACGTTTATTTAAGCTCCTTGGAGATAACTACAGGTGTTAAAATGAATATTGAGCTCTAGTTAAGTCTCTTGGCAATTTAAAAACCAGAGCAGACCTGGTATCGCAGGGCCAGTACCTTGCACAGGCCCTGAAGCACATCACACAGAGCACCCATGTCTCAAATGCCATCTTATGGGGAACCCACTGCAGTGCTGCATGCGTGCTGTGCCACTGCCCATCCCAGAGGACGAACCTTTCCTCTTACATTTACCCAAAAATGGATACTTGCCACTTAGGAATGAGACCCAATTTAACTCTGGTTTTAGCTATGATTTCAGCTAAGGTCATTGATGCATTGGTGGAATGTAGGTGAGGCCCCAGCAAAGCATGTATTTCAGAGAGCTGGTTTTCATGTGAGCTGTGCAGTGCTGCCCATCCCCTCACCTTTCACAGTGCCTTCCAGCTGTAAACCTGCTGCAGTTCAGGCACTCGCCAGTCACTGGGTGGCAAAGCTCTGCGAAGCCGTGACATGGGCAAGGGCGGCAGTGGGGAAACCCAAAATACCCGGGCAGGCATTGGCTGCAGCGTCGGCCATCAACATCCCGGCGGCAGGCACACTGCCCTGTCACCTGGTCACACAGCGAGCTCACTGAGCCCTGCGGGTGGCACTCACACGCTGGAAAACACCAAAAGCAAAGCTGTACCCTCAGCGGGTCCCCATCACCCAGCCACCACCGACCCTGCTTGAAGGTAGAGCAAGCACTGGGGGATGGCAAAGTTGTTCAATATGGAAATTGTTTTTGTATTGCTTCATGAGGAAAAGGATCTGTGGAGGTTAATTCACAGTTGGCTGAACTTGAGCCAGCAGAGTGCCCAGATAGTCAAGAATGCCAAAAGCATCCTGGCTTGTATCAGAAATAGCGCAGCCAGCAGGAGCAGGCAGCTGATCATCACTCTGTACTCAGTGCTGGTGAGGCTGTATCTTGAGTGCTGGAGTGTGAGACCCTGGAGTGCATCCAGAGAAGGGCACCAAAGCTGTGAGAGACTGAGCTGTCTGAGACTGGATATTTCAGGCTGGATATTAGGAAATACTACTTCTCTGAAAGGGTGGTCAGGCACTGGAATGGGCTGCCCAGGGAGGTGGTGGAGTCACCAACCCTGGAGGTGTTCAAGGAACGTTTGGATGTTGTGTTGAGGGATATGGTTTAGCGAGAACCATTGGTGATAGGTGGATGGTTGGACTGGATGATCTTATAGGTCTTTTCCAACCTTTGTGATTCTGTGATTCTGTGAAAAATGTTGTCTGTGATTCTGTGATACTGTGATTCTGTGACTGGGATGGTACAGTCTGGAGAAGTTAAGGATCAGGGGAAATCTTATCACTCTTTACAGTTGCCTAAAAGGAGCTTGTGGTGAGCTGGGGGTCTGCCTGTGCTTCCAGGTAACAGCAATAGAATGAGAGAGAATGCCTTAAGTTGTGCCAGGGAAGGTTCAGGTTGGATATTAGGAACAATTTCTTCCCAAAGTGGTGAGGCACTGGCATAGGCTGCCCAGAGAGGTGGTGGAGTCACTGCCCCTGGAGGAGTTCTAGAAATGTGGATATGTGGCACTGAGGGGCATGGGTTAGTGTGCATGGTGGGGTTGGACTGATGGTTGGACTAGATCTTAGATCTAGTGGCGTGAAAGCCCTGAAGAGTTGGGGTGTGCACAGAAAGCCCAATACTGATAGTATTGTCATGGTACGGGTGAAGGTAGTGGTGTCAATACTGGGTGCTGAGTACTCACGGTAGCAGCCATGGAAGCCGAAGCCATAGCTGCCTGCAGAGCAAGTGTCACAGCAGCGCCCCACTACATTGGCTTTGCAATGGCACTGCCCCCCCAGTTTGCTGCAGCTGGCATTCAGTGAGCCCTGGGGATTGCACTTGCATGCTGCAAACAAGAAAGAAAATCAAGTCAGGTCTGGTTAAAAACCAAAGGAGTGTGGCAGTTGTAAAAATCTTGCAGGTTTTGCACTTAAAGGGAAGATTCTGACTACCACTCATCGGAGGTTCACTAACCAACAACAGCCATGGCTTGGGTTATTTAATACTACAGCAATAATGCATCACCAGCACAAGTCTTGGTGTTGGAACACCATGCTCAGGGCACAGCTGCAGCCTATATTTGGGACAGGCCAGAAAGAGGTGTAGAGAAAGGTAGATCTACACAGAGATATGCTGAAATCTAGAAATATTTGATATAAACCTGCATCCTGCTGTGCCACTGGACATGATGAGCAAGCAATGCTTTTAGACTGGATAGAAGGATGAAGTTTTTTACAGTAAGGGTACTGAGGTACTGGCACTGGTTGCTCTGAGATGTGGAGGAAGCCCTGTCCTTGGAGATGTTCAAGGTCAGGCTAGACAGGGCTTTGAGCACTTGGTCTGGCTGTAGGTGTTCTTGTTCCAGGGGAGTTGGACTAGATGACCTTTAAAAGTCTCTTCCAACTCAAACAATTCTATGACTTAGCCAACCCCTATTTGCTGCTTTCTGGACACCTCAGACTATCATACTGAATGGAGCTGCTCTGCTAACCCACAGGGAATGTTTGTCCAGGACACTCAGATGCCAGTGCTAGAAAGCCAAAGTGAGAACCCCATCACTGTGGGGAGTAGATTTACTCTACTCTACTGTGGGGAGTCAGTGCAGCCCAAACTTAAGTGGTTCTGGACATTGTCCAAAGCTTCAAATCCCACCTGCTACTGCTCTCACTCTGGGATACCTCTGAGGTTTGCTTGCTGAACATCTTGCAACAAATCAGCCTGTATGCTGCTGTGCCTGGAGTCCTACCAAGCATCCAGCTGGCCTGCAGCATCTGGGGAGGGGGTTTAAAATCCTCTGTCATTTTCTACCAGCCAAAATTAACCAAACTTCTTGCTTTGGCCATTTGGTGAAGCTGGTTGCAGCACTCTTCAGAAAACATACAAGCATTGCTTGTGTGCTCTTGCAGCTTGGAAGACCAGTGGTATCCAGGGCTCCATCAGAAGAGGAGTGGCGCTGGAGGTGATTGTCCCTCTCTACTCTGCCCTTGTGAGGCTCCGTCTATAGTACTGCATCCAGGTCTGGGGCCCCCAAAACAAGAAAGACAGGGAGCTGTTGGAGGGCGTTCAGAGGAGGGCCACAGGGATGATCAGAGAGATGGAGTACCTCCCCTACGAAGGCAGGCTGAGGGAGCTGGGCTTGTTTAGCCTGGAGAAGAGAAGGCTGCAGGGTGACCTAATTGCAGTCTTACAATACCTAAAGGGAGCCTATAAACAGGAGATGAGTCAACTCTTTGAAAGGGTAGATAACAGCAGGACAAGGGGAAATGGTTTTAAGTTGAAGGAGGGAAGATTGAGGTTGGATATCATGGGGAAGTTCTTCACAGAGAGAGTGGTGAGGTTCTGGAAAAGGCTGCCCCGAGAGGTTGTGGATGTCCTGTCCCTAGAGTTGTTCAAGGACATGTTGGATGGGGCCCTGAGCAGCCTGGTCTAGTATTAAATGTGGAGGTTGTTGGCCCTGCCTGTGGCAGGGGGGTTGGAGCTTGATGATACTTGAGGTCCCTTCCAACCCAAGCCATTCTATGATTCTATGATTCTGTGATTGCTCCATTATGAGATGAGCTTCAAGAGCCTAGGCTTTTCAATAGCCAAGCCACATGAAGATGTTTGCGATATGCTTAGGGTTGGATATCCTGCGTGCCTGTATGGGCTTCTTTGATGTACACCACCTCAGAGCTCTCAGCCAAATGTCCAACATACTGAAGGAAAAAAGCATTGCCCAGGCTGCTGTCTGCATGCAGGCCTTACCGACAGCGCCGCGGTGAAGGCGGGCTGACATGCTGGCTATCAGCCGGGCGCACGCCTCGGGCAGCACATGAGGTCCGACTTGTGATGCAATTTCGACACAGTGATAATTCTGGTAGTCATCTAAGTCCTTTTTGCTGCATAAGTTCTCCATGGAGTTGATTCTGGGAATAAGTCCAAGCTTTGGCGTTAAGAGGAAAGGAAAATATTTTTGCTTAGATATGCTGAAAACCAGAATTTCCCACATCCTCTGATGGTGCTGTGCATAGCAAGGACAAAGGCCTGCAGCACCGCATTTCTAAATCTAAATTCACCTTTATTCTGAAGGTCTAGACATTCCCCAAGTTCTTCAAATAAAAGAGAATGTGTACAAAGAAGTCAGGTTATAGTAAGGCCTCGGATACAAGGTCAGAAATGTTGTTGCTGCTAAGAGGTGCCATGTTTACAACTCTAAAAACAGCATCCGGCCAAAAATTTTACTTGTACTACTGCGATAGGGAAAAAAAATGAGCTGCAGACTCTATGTCCAAGTATGGCCAGCCTTTGCCAGGTTCAGTTTTATGGAAATAATTGGAGGAATGAACATTTAAATACTTTTCTCAAGAGAAGGACCCAAAAGCAACACCCACTTTCTGCCTTGTTGGAAACTTGGAAAATGTCTGTACACAATTCCCAGGAAAATACAGAACTAACTTTACTTTTCCAATGTCAGGGCCCATCTCTAAATATATCCATGCTTTTCTAATTGGATTCAGATGTATTATGAGGATTTTCAAAACTTCTAGGTGAATGAAGAATTGAAGAATGTGTCCCTAACCACAGCATCTTGTTGGCATATGTGGAGTGTGCTCATAATGAATGAGCAACCAACAGAGGTACGTACACTGCCTATTAACACATGCAACACTTTTGACTTGATGAGCTGCTACAGTATTGCTCCATAAAAATGTTAAATGATATAATTCTATCTCTCCATATATAAACATAGGAAGTCAATACCAATGGAGGCAAAGAGAAGCACACTTCCCTGAATTTCTAATAAAACACATTATAAATGATTTTGAAATGTTTGGGTAAGCCTGTTTAACAAAACAAACACACAAACAAAAAGCAACCAAACAAAAAACATTTCAAAGTATAAACTATAAATTAAGAGGTATAAATGCAACCTCTTGGGAGTTGAGACAGCATTACTCACAGAGTCAATCAAGATGAACGGTTTAGCCTTTGGGTCAGAGGCAGAGGGCTGAGAAAAATACACATCCACAGAGTACTGGGTTCCTGGCTCCAGGCAGACTGGGGTCTGCAGTAGGGCAATCCTGGTTAGCAGAGACACAGCACTATCACAGCCAGCACAGATGGGCTCTCCCCAGAGCAGAACAAGGCAATTTGTGGGGTGCTGTGAACTCTCCCAGCCCTCCCACCTACTCTTTACTATTTACATAGGTGCAAACTGAAAAACTAGTTTTGAAAATAGGCTAGGACGGTGTCTTTAGGTCAGTATTCCCTTCCTATACTTAAATAGCTTTAGCTGGACCTCCACTAAAGAAATCAGTCCCAGTAGAACCTAAGCTGCTCTCCTGGCTGTGGCAAAACATTGCTAGGCTGGGACGGGGTCATCTGCTTCTTCCTGCACTCCTCCAGGCTGCAGGGTGTTATCGTGCAGCAGCGGCAGGAAACGCCACGCATGTGTTTGCAATAACCCCACTTTCCCACAGATTTATATGCCTCAGTGAGAGATTTGCACAGAAAATCTACAGAGACAGACAGAAATAGACAGACCTCTTTGTAGCTGGGAGGGCAAACACATGAGGTTCCTGTGAAAAGCCGTTGGCTTTGCACTGTTGACTTGATGAAACACCAGTGGGCTGGACAGCAACACTTGCTAACCAGTCTTCTAAGGTCTATGAACAAAAGACACAAGTTATGATCATTTCATAATTTTATTAGGAAGCATTATTTCTCAGCAAGAGTGCTGAGGCAGTGGCCCAGGGAGGTGGTGGAGTCACTGTCCTGGAGGTGTTCAAGAAAAGGGTAAATGCAGCACTGAGTGATGTGGTTAGTGGGCATGGTAGGGATGGGCTGATGGTTGGACTACATGACCTTAGAGGTCTTTTCCAACCTTTATGATTCTATGATTCTATGACTGTACCTGAAAAACTTACTTTCTCCTTGTTATGGTTTCTGAAAGAAACCATCCAGCTGATGATTGCACGTAGCAGTGACAAAACAGATTTTCCCTTTGTCTTTTAGTATTAAAAATAATGTTATTTGAGAAAAATGCACTGTATTTGAACAGCAGTAATGGAAATGGGACTTCAGCCGGGGCAGATGGAAATGGCTCTGTTAAAGCCATTGAACTGCTTCCTTTCTCAGCACAGCATTGTCCCAGAGATATCCCTCACCATATGCCCCCTCTCACATCTAATAAAGAACAACAAACATAAGTGACTTTGCAGCAAATGTCTTTAAAATTCAGCTGTTCCATCCAGTCCTCAGAAGGAAAAAACAACATCAAAATAGCCCACTGCAAAATTATTCTCGTGCTTTTAGTTAATGGGAGTTTTGTTTGCCTCAGAATGACAGAAAAGAATAGAATACAGTAGACAGAAGGAGTATCTTGAGTGAGGGGATTGTCCCAGGGAGTTGGGACGAGAAGGAAGAAGGCATGCATAAATACTTGTAGGGAAAAGACACCTACATGCATCTTGGAACACACAGATGCAGGCTTGGATTTAACCAGATTTGGATTAATGGATCTCCCTAGACATGTCTTCATCACTGAGAAATTTTGTCCAGGCACAAAATAAGATTTTGGCTAATATTCTAAGGTTTTCACACATTTTAGAGCCCAGCTGGAGCAACTGGGAAACTGCATGACTGCAAAGGGTCTGGATAAACATCTGTTGTGTATGTACAGATCAGCACACTCCTCTCCTGCCTGTATTTCCATTGTTCTCCCCAGAAAATCTCAGCTAAAAATACAAGACTCCCATCTGAAGCAGATGCATTTTGCTGATATGTCTGGTGTCTGATATGTGAAGAGAAGTCCAGTCCAAGCAGGGGTAACAAATGGGGAGCTCCAGACAATGGCATCTTGGCTAATACTAAGAAAACACTTGTGTTTTCCTAAATATGAGGAAGAGGGTAAAAGGAATCAGTAGATTGCATGTTTATCTGTTGATAAAGATTAAAAAGCAAATAATTTTCATTTTAAATGAAAAGAGTTTTAAAGAGTAGAAGGACTTGCCACCTCCTACAATTGGCAAAATAGACCATGCAATTGTCACAATGTCACAAAACATTCAAGCCATCACCAATACCTCTGGCTCATAACGGATTGCAATAGTGAAGTCCATAGCCAGGGGAATGTTGTCAATGGCAAATCTCAGCCCAGCTCCACTGGGGACACGAGCAAAGCCAGGGCCTGTCCAGGTGACAGCTCGGCCAGCGCTGGGCTGCCTGAAAACCACCTCCAGGGCTGGGTCCTGTCCTTGCTCAGCTGTGCCCTGCAAAGACATGCACACATTGTCACTGTCACAGTCAAGTTACAAACAGGCAAATTTGGAAAAAAGAAAGGAACTATTTTTGCTGTCTTAATTACTTATCTCAGACAGCAGTCAGCCTCCTTTCTGGACACACTCTTGATCTGCATGCTAAGAACACTCCCAAATGTGGGAAGTTTAGCTTCACAGACAGAGGAAAACCACAAGACAAAGAATGATTAGGTTAATCCATCCATCTCTGTATACTTGATACTTCTAGGTGTTCACATTGCAAACCTTTAACAGATTGAACTTAATTTTGTACATGGCTAAACTTCCCATTAAAGCTGAATAAGTAAATATCAACATGTACAACAACTAAGCTGACTTGCAACAATAGAGTATTTAAACACAGCAGGTACACATTTAGGTACACTTAAATGTTGTAGATGTCTTGCAAGCAAACCAAACAAAAAAAAAAGGATTTTAGCTTCCTTCAGGATCTTTCTTTCTGAACAATTGACTCAATCAGAGCCTACAGTAGCACTGGACATAGCAAAACAAGCCTGTCTGTGTGAATTATAAAATATCCAGCTCAACTGTCTGCTAAAAGAATTGATATCACTTGTGTCTGGGTTGTAATGTATCCACATGCACGGACATATCCTTTCCCTCTGTTGCAAGACTGAAGTTAGCATTTGGTATAATCTTTATAAATAACAGAGCACTAATTTACCTGCCCAAGTGCAGCTTTTCTTATGCTTCGCTTTTTGCTCCTGTTTAGCACAATCTTTCCATTTTCAATCATGAACTCATATCCTTGCTTCTGGAAGTAGATGTCACACCTTGGGAGAGTGGTTGGTTTGACCTATGAATTAGAAGTAATAAGACAGGATGCAGCATTATCTCAGCAATTCTGAAGGGCTGGTAAGCAGCTAACAGGAAATCCCTATTCTTAAAACAAGTTCTATTCTCTGCTGCATTAAACCCTGTAACATGGCCCAGCAACTGCTGGAAACCCTTTTCCTTCACTCTCTTACTATTAGGTTACAGTTCTTCTCATAAACTGTGTCCCAGACATCTGTTTTCCATTTAATTATTGGACAGTAGGATGCATACTGTCTGTGATTATAGCTAAATATTTGTGGATGTGACCTGCAAATAAACATTTTTTTTTTTAATTATTACTTCTCCATAGCTTCTGGACAAAACATTGGAGAAGAAATTTTAGTAAAATGTAGGCAGCGGAAGGGACACAGTCCAGCAAAATGAGATGTGTACTGTGCATGGGGGAAAATCTACCCCAATTTTGAGGAATAAATAAATGTTCTAAAACATTATGGACGGATGCCAAATTCTTAAGGAAATCAGGCTACAATCGGTTTCTTTATGTAAGGCAGCAGGAATGAATCAAACGGAGCAGAGAACAATTTAGTTTTTCCTTTGTTAGAACTTTCCAGAAGAAAGTTTGTGATAGCTTCTCCTTGAGCTGTTGGCAACTTTAATTTAAATAGTTTAATTTAAATAGTTAAATTAATTTCACTAATTTATGCTAGACCAGCCCACACCTGAGGAGCAGCAAGGATAGCTTTGTAGGTCACCACAGCATGTAGTAATATCCACGGTTACGGAAGACATGTGAGGCAAAGAAGAATTGAGGATGATCAAGGAACTTGCTTTGTATCAACCATCATATGGATCTATTTTCCATATGATGCCTTAACAGGCAACTACATACCAAGGGTGCAGAACCAGAAAGGGACGTTGCATGCTCAGCTTCATAAATATAATAATCCAGGGGCAAAAAGAAGTAGCCTGGGGCTGGCTCATTGCACTGGCGGCCCACGATGTTGGGAAGGCACTTGCACTGACCGTCCTCTGGTGAGCACCTAGGGCAGGAGTTGGTATGGGGAGGACGTGAGTGTAGCACTTCTGGGTTCTCTCAGCATGAGAGCAGCTCAGCTCCACTCTTGTTTCACCTTTGTTTCACAGTGGAAGCACTGTGGGACTGTCCACTATTAAACTTCTTTCCACCATTCTCTCTCTCTGTTACCCCTGTCCAATGCTGCATTTATTTAGTTCTGTTTCATCACTTAGGAGATGTGACATGTCATGGCTTTTTCCATCCGTTCCACCAGAAGCACAGATCCTTTTCTTTTCTGACCATTTGTTGCCATCTATTTCTGTTCCTTGTACCCATTTTAATACCTATTACCATATCCATTCTTAAGCATCTATCCCGTATGCTTTTAGAAACAGGACATGAGGTCGCTAGCATCTTTGATTTGAGTGATATGGTAGTTTTCATATATTCACGCTCTTGTTTCACACATCAGATGATGACTAGCTTTGATTTCTTGCTGACAAATACAAGCCAAGGAAGCTGCAGATTTGTTTTGCAGCACTGGATGTATCTAATAGGCAAGATGTCAGCCGAACAGAGTCCTGGGGAAACCCATGTGAAACAGAACAAAAATGGCCTCTTGATTAATATGTTTTGAATATGAGTCAATGCTTAAGAAAAATAAATAAATAAAAATATTTTTAAAAAGACATTTCTAGCTTTTGAAGTGTGGAAAGGAGGCTACGTTAAAAATGTCGCTTGCGCCTTCTAATTTTCTTCTGATATTAGGGCCAGTGGTTCTCTCAAACTATGCAGCATGTATTCTGTATTAAACTAATCTTGACTCCAGCTGATCTAAAACTGGCTTTGAAGGTAGAAGATAAATTCCCCTTAAAATCACAGCTAGATCTCCGAGATCCCAACATGACTTTATACTCTTTGTGCATGATGAAACTACATCTACAGTCTATTTTCCCACTGAGTACTGAGACTCTATTAACCTAGCTAGAAAATCTAATGCTAGAGTTTGTGAAAATTAAAAATGAGACAAAACTTGAAGAAGAACGTTAACTTACAAGTTATCCTGGGATCCACCAATGTCACAGTCACATGGAGAACAGCCATACACGCTCTTGCCAAGACCCCAGTATCCCTCCTGGGGTAAAAAGAAAGTGGAAGAGTTTTCTTAATAGAAAGTAAGGTCTTTTCCAACCTGAGTGATTCTATGATTGATGCTATAGTTCACTCCTGGGATGCCTGCCTGTGCTTGGCCATGTGAGATTGCTGCTCATACCAAAATATATGGGTGCTCAGACACTGTCAGAAGAACCAGGTATTTATCCATCTGTGCAAATGAGTTGCTCTGGAAATAGCAAAGATAACACTGCATTTCCTTTTCAATGAGTGCTGCTTCTAGTGCAAATAGATTGCACTTTCACAAGCAGTAAAAAAGGACCGAATGTGTCTGTGAATGTGTCCATGCAAAATGGAAGAGTATAATATTAATTTAAAATTAAATAAATAAATTTAAATAAAATAAAATTAATAATGTAAAATTAATTTGTATTTTGACTAAATCTAATTGTTTACCTTTTTAGCAATGATTGTTCCCTTCATGACAAAGGGAAAAAGATTATGAACTCCTGTTTTTTGTGAAAATACTGACTGCAAATATTTGAGAGCAGCTAAATCCACAGATAACCAGGACAGGGTTGCAGTATTTCGCAGCCTAAGGCACAGAGGATGCTTTTTCCATTCATATTTCTTCATCATCCGGAGACTGCTAAGGAGAGATTGTGACTTAATCTAAGGACATCTTCAGACTCTGAACAAAGGCAGTTTTCAACTCTTCACTGCATTCCTCATTGGTGAGCACAATCCTAGCCCATGAACACGGAATGAGCCCAATGGAAGCCCAGACTCAAAGAGACAAACCCTGGAGCTGTCCCATGCCAGGGTGGAAACGCTTCCTTGGTAAAAACCAGATGGTCCTCATATTCCCTAAATAGCCTCATCGCACAAGAAATAATGTCCCATACACAGAACTGATGCCATTTTCTCCTTTGATGAAATGCCATGCCAGAGCCCACACGAAGGCAAGAGACGGGAGACGAGACTTCTAAAACAGATGCAGAGAGCCAGCACAAAGGAACAACAAAAACTGTCCAGACACGTACAACACATTTCTCACAGCGCTGGCCCGTGGTGAACCGCTGGCAGAGGCACTCCCCAGTGGCAGGATCACAGATGGAGAAAGGCAAAGTGCCGGCAGCATCACAGTTGCAGGCTGTGGGGAGAGAAATGTGTGGTTGCCTCAGTTGGCCCTGCTGATGGTAGCAGGGGTGGGATGTGTCTATCAGCAAGCCTCGCTCTGAGGAATGGCTGTCTGGAAGCTATCACAGCCAGGCAACAGCTCCCTTAATCTACAAAGCGTTTAGCAGGAAGAAGAGCCCCAAAATACTTTCTAAGGAATTTAGTTACCAGGCAGATGAGGCAAAATGTGTAACAGGCACCTCAGTCAGAAGGTGCATTCAGACCTCAGAAGGTTTGTTTCTGGCCCACGTGCATCTTACATCAGTGATGTTTTGAGTGTGGAAATGAAAACGTGAGTGGAGTGTGCAGACTGGGGTGGTATTTCCATCTCCTATTTCCTCAAAAGCAATACATTTACCTCCCAGTGAACAGCTTCTAAATGCATTTAAAAGAACAATTCTGTGGCTGTGGCTTCCCAGGAAGAGTCTTGGTCTGAAGACCAAGAACATGCCCTTGACATGAGATCATAGCAGCCAATTGGGTATTTTGTAACATAGAAAGTATCCATGAGTTACTGTGTGCATCTGTGCATTTAACTACTCCCATCTCTTAAAAATGCTTTGTGAAGATCAAAAGTGGTAATTTACATACGCTGGCAGCCCTGTGGGTTGCTGCCTCTTAGCCCGAAGTGGTTGGCCTTGCATTTGTCACAGCGGACACCCTCCGTGTTCTCCTTGCACGGGCACCGACCTGCCACCGTTCCCAGCACAGGGTCTGTGCGGCTCTCACATGCACCGTGGTGCAGTGTGCCCTCTGGGTCACAGCTGCAAGCTACAGGCAGAAACAAAGAGACATAGGAAAGCACGTTTAGATATAGGCATGAAATTGTACAACTGCAGCTGTTAAAGTTCAGCGTTGTTGTGAAGACTAGAGATGTCCATCCACACCTGCTGTGCTGGCGGCTGCACATTTAAAGTACAGTCACTATAAAGAAATACTTCAAGAGGATTTCCAAGATCAACTTTTTCTCTGGAGGAGAGTAATAGTCTTCACTTTAGTAGAAATTTACCCTTCTCCTTAGGCAGAAATGGGTGTTGCTCATCCATCCTGATATTCTCCACCTGGGGAGAAGCAAGGCTCTGTGCTTCTGGGGATGCTTTTGTGAAAGCTGCAGTGTACAGAGGGGTACCACCAAGGACCCCCCTCCCCAGGGATGGCCTGAGCTGGCCATGGCTGAGTAATTTGCTAGAAAGGATGGGATCAGCAGGAGCCACTGCCTCCATGATATATCTCACTTTCTGTTCAGGCTGTTTCTCACCGCACTGCTAACATCTACCACATCGCTTCCCTGGGTAATCTCCCCTTGGCTCCTTAAGAACCTTCCATGCCAATCAGTGATGACAGATTATACTCAAAGCATCTTTCCTATCCTGTGATAATACTGAACTAACTTTTCAAAAGACAAGCTTGCATGCCTGAAAGCTTATTTTTAAATATATGACAAATATCTAGAAAAGATATTCCTACTCCCACCATTTCACTCCTGTAACTCATGACTATCACAAAAGCAACAGCACTGCTGCTAGTTCGTTTTCTACTGATGCTGGTCAGAAAAACTGAGATTGGCCCTTCCTGTGGCAGGGGGGTTGGAACTTGTTGATTCTTGGGGTCCTTTCCAACCCAAGCCATTCTTTGATTCTGTGATTCTATGATGACATCCCTGCTGGACTGAAAGCTCAGTTTAGCAGTGAGCTGGAATATGCAGCTCCCTGTACAATGCTATTTCAAGGACAGTGTTGTGCAGATATTTTGTAAGGTAGTTTGGAAGTTCAGAAACACTTCTACAGCCACATACAAGTATGAGGATGCAATAGGGCTCAGAGCAAATAGATGCTAAAATAGGGAATCTTACGGAGGCATGCGTGAGGGTCCGAAATGGCTTTGTGTGGATCCTGGTAAAAGAAGAGCTTGCACTGATCACAGTGTTGCCCCGTGGTGTTGTGCTGGCAATCCTCACAGACCCCACCGCTGACCCCACCACTGGCCTGGTACACAGCCATGTCGAAGTGGCACCTGCCAGAGTGGCCATTGCAGTTACAGCCTGCAGACAGAAACAAAAAGGGGATAATTAACACCACAGTTCCTATTGTGTCTTGCCACCACTGTGTCTACCTTTACAACAGGTTTACTTGTTACGCATCTGATTTCAATGTTCCTGCAAGATTACAGCCTTCCAGTCCTTGCACTTTACCACTAGGGGCAAATTGCAGCATACAGATTCTGCAAACAATGGTGCTCATATTGCAAATTCTGGTTTTGCTGCCATCAACAATATTTATTGGATTTACATATGCAGCAAAGCAGGAATATAATGATGCTAAGACTGGGGACTAATTGAAAAAAAAAAAAACCACAACCAAACCTGAAACACAAGACAGCGGAAAAATGTTGGAGAGAAGGGGGAGAAAGACCAAAGGTGAAGAATGCTAAATCTCTCACCTTCAGAAGTGAGCAGTCTGCATAGGAGGCAGTTCTGAACCATTTCAAAGCCTTGTCTTGGGCATCTATTCATGTCTTAAAGTAAAAACCAAGTCAGGAGGACCATGGCAGCAGGCTCCAGGCACTTCATGCAGGGCTGGCACTACACAAGTGGCACCGTTTCAGGCTGGCATAGCAACTGCCAGACCTTGTGAGAAACTGTGTGTACTTCCAATCATGCCTCAAGAAGACAAGCTCTCAGCCTGCTATTTCCACCCCTCAGGGAGCAGCAGCATCCCCCCATAAAATGCCCTACAGGCACCAGAAATGGGCCCTACCTACACTTTGAGAAAAACCCAGGCAGGTGTGTCTGCCTGTTACAGAGTGGGGAACATCCCTCCACTGAAGAAAGATTTAACTAAATACCCGATACAGATTTTCATCTATTATTCTTTTATGTCCTGCATTATTCATCATTGTGGAAATAAATAATTCAGCCTTGTCTAAATGCTTGTTTCATTTGCAAGACCCTAAGTTAAGCAATAAATGATCTTCTGGCATCAGCAGTTTTTTTCCTTTATTTTTTCTTTTCTCTTTATTAAAAATAAGAATGTGAAAGTTCACCTTCTAGGGCAACAGCACCGATGGACATGTGAATCCACCTGTTTTTTCTAGATGAGGCATGGAAAAGGTTCCATCCCAGAAACCATCCGATAGTGCATTGTGCTGAGACTGTGCTGCACCCACCCCCCAGTAATCACAAAGGAAAAAAATATATTTGAGTTACGTTTGCAAGCATTGTTTTGTGCCCCTTCAGCTGGCCTCCAGGGAGCGTCGTTGTAGAAATCTTTACATCTTTCACAGGACAAGCCTTCAGTGTTGTGGCGGCAGATACATCGCCCATGCACCTGCAAGGTGGTGAGATGGATGAGATATGGAGATGAGAAGAGAGGAAAGGAGAGGAGAGGAGAGCTGATTCTTTTCAGTTTTATGCAAGGGAAACATAAAGGCATCCTTTTGTCTCCCAATTGAAACAGATGTGGATCAAAATAATGTTTCCTGTATGTCTGCTGGTGTAATCTGTTCCTGATGGCTCTGTTGCCTCCATTAAGATTTAAAGTGATTTTTTCTTCCACTACTACTGTAAGTCTCAATGCTACAAAACAGCCACTAAACTTCATTAGGACTCCTAAATCAAGTTATATCCTTTCAGGTACTACATCTGTATTCATAAGAAGAGCTGTAACTCCTACTGAGTTGCTTATGCTATTATAAAATGTCTTATCTGCTAATATTGTCGATAGTAATCTGCTTGAGGTACACCAGCAAGCTTGGGGAAATTCAAAGCTCTCTGGCTCCCTCAGCTGACAAAATGCTCATTTATTTGAGGAAAAGTTTGGAGAATGCCTACAAACTTTAACTCCATAGTTTTAAAGCTGCTGGGCAACATTTAGGAAAAAAAGTACTTCTAATGACACCAGTGGAGACGTCAACATTTTTTATTTCTCTCTCTCTCTTCCTACATCTGTCAATTCTGAGAAACATATTTCCCAAAGAAAAAAATCCGATCTCTTTATCCCACAAGTAAAGAATTTGAAATAATCTCTCTGAATTTTTTTAATAATCAATTTTTCATGGGTTAGCTTTGCATTATTGGCCATTCTTTGTGCCAATGTCTGTCCCTGCTGCAGAGCCCCTTAGCCCAGCTGGAGCATGGAATTCACCCAACAAGCAGCCAGTCAAGTCTGCACACAGCACAGACTGCTTACTTCATTATATTTGCACCATTACAGCTCTGGTATTTTGCTGCTGTTATCAACATGTCACGTCCCAGTTGCTTGTGAAACACCATACTGATGCCAACAAAGACACAGCTTTTGAGAAATCTAGCCCAGAGTTCTGAAGGAAGAAGTTGTATCAAAACATTGGGGTTGCGAATGGTTAATCCAAAGGTCATCAGAGACCTTCCCTTCTCCCTCTCCCTCTATCTTTCCATCCCTTCCTCTCTCCTTCCCTCCATTCCTTCCTTCCACCAAAACACCAGGCAGGGACTTAATAGCATTAATGACGCACCATGCCAGGCTGATGAAAGACATCACCCCGCAGATTCTGTATAGGATCACAGTGGCTGGCATGGCCATTGCAAAAGCAGTTGCCCCGCACAACCATCTCGTAGACAGCATAGTAGTACTTCTCAAGGGGATCACCATGCCTTCTTCCAAGGAGAGCATCCCCGAGGGTATGGAGTTTGGTAAAATTGATCCTTAGGTTTGTCATTGTAATGAGCTCTGGAAAGAAAGAAAAGAAATCAGGAGCCCAAGCTGACTAAAAAATGAAGAGGGTCAAATTTACAGCTTGCATAAAACATTCAGTAAATCCCCCATACTGAAGAAATTGTTAAAATGGTCTGATATGGGCCTGGGCAAGTGGCTTGCTCCTGGCAGACAACTTCCTTGGTACCACCCTGGTCTGGCTAAGCAGTGCTTCCCCAGTCAGTAACTCATGAGCCCATGAGAGACACTCAAGTGGCAAGGAGGATTAGGCCATCTGGTCCTGGAAGGAAAGATAGTTTAGCTGCATGGATGGGCTGTACAGAGCTGGGTCATTTGTCTGTAGGGCTAGGGGACAAGATTGGCCCTTTTAAAATTTATTAGTACAGATGTCTTCCTATGATCCTTTGGTACATATTTTTCAACATCATTATTAACACCAGTTGAGCTTTTGCTTCTCTCAGTGTGCAAAGTAAGCAACACCCATAAAGTGAAAACTTGCATTGTTCTTACCTTGGATATATGGCACATATGGGTTTTCTATTTCAAAGCTAGGATCCAAAGCTTTTAAGACAACCTGCAAATCAGATTAAAACAGCTCTGTAAGTCATGGAAGATATTCTTTTTGCATATAAATTCTACCACCTGAGATCCATTAGTTACTGATGTCACTTCACTGATCCTGTCAAATTAAAACCAAAGTCTTGGCCCCAGTTGAGCAAGTTCTCTCAACTTTTCAGCGTGGCTTTGGCTGGCAAAAAGCCCTTCAGTGGCAGAGGCTGATAGGGAACCAAGAGCTCTTATGAGGAAGGGCTTTCATGTGAACTGGGAAAACAGGAAAGAGCACTAGAAGGCTTTGTGCATGTTATTTTATGAGTTCATTTGGATATGAAACTGAGGGTAAAATGCTGTGATTTTCCCTCTTACACCTGAAAAGTCAACAGCACTTCATGACTCAGGATCTCTGTAAGTAAATATGATGGACATAAAAGCAAGACCCTCAGCTCCGGAAAGCTAGCCATGCATGATCTCAGTCACCGACTCTTGGCAGTACCTCGCCTTCAGTGGAGGGCTCAATGTCTGAATATCTTGAGTCACAGATGACGTCTCCCACACCCTTTGATGGACCAGAAGAGATGTTGGGAAAAGAAGCTGCACAGTCCTGTGCAAAATACCTAAACGCTTTCCAGGTCTGACCAAAGTCGATGGAGCGCTCAACCAGCATTGCTGCGGGCCGAAATGTCTGCAAGAAACATTTTTTTCAAGAAGTCCTTAATGTGGCATTGATTAGACATCTTGGGGATAGTTGTGTTGACAGTCCTGTTTGGGGGATGCCAACAGCTGCCAATTGTATTTCTGTGTTTGAGAGCCTGCAGGCACACTGTACTACTTGCATGAGACTCTGAAGAAGCCATATTCCTCATCTCAGCCTCCTCAGGAGAAGAGAAGGGCAATCTTCCATATAGAATCATAGCATCATAGAATAGCTCAGCTTGGAGGGGACCTGATCTAGTTCCAACCCCTTGCTGTGGGCAGAATTGCCACCTACCAAATCAGGCTGCACAGGAGATTATTTTATAAGTAGATTATTTTTTAAGTAAGGAAATCCACTATAACAATACAGGAGTTTTGTTTAAAAAAACAATAATAATTGTAGCCATCGAAGTGGATCACAATGGGTATGCTTAAGAAGACTGAATTAAATTTGAAAGAACCATCTCAGTTAGAAATGTCTAAAGTATTTGGACTTAATTTCATAGTTTATTTTTCAGATTTAATTATCAGATTTATAGAAAATAGGACCAGAAGGCACATGAATGAGAAGCTACTCAACCTACTACTTTCCCTAAGGCAGGATCAGCTACAACTTAACCATACTTGACAGGTGTTTATCTAACCAGTTCTTACAGACCTCTGAGGATGGTGCTTTCACTGCTTCCCTAAGCAATTTATTCCTGTGGTTAAAGAATTAGTGTATAAAATTACTTAAAAGACGTGCATATAATACCTTAAAGGTCAGGATGAGATGGCTGAACTGGAATAAAGTTTCTAGGTCCAGTCTAATACTGACATGGTCAACGCCTGAAAAAGAATGAAAATGAAGTGAAGAGCACAGATCACACATTGGAGGGGCTGCTAAGGCAGTTTTCCTTGGGGAATTCACAGATGCCTTTTCCAGTCAAGGCAGCCAGGCTCCTTGGGGCATCCTGGGAGCACAAAGTTAGCTCCCTCTGAGATTGTGCGTGCAATGGGACCTGCTGGAAGAGTGCTGGAAGTTGGAGGCTGTGTGAAATGGCTGTAGGTCTTGGTCAGAGCATTCAGATGGCAAGTGATGGTGACGGCAAGGTTCTGGGTGTGTGTCTTCTGTAACCACGTGAATTTTTAAAAGTCATCCAATGATTTTCTTTGTTTCTGACAGAAACTAATAAAAATATGGGGTGTTCATGCAAAATGGATCAGTTAAATCCTTCTATACCGACAGAGCTGACATTCACCATGAGCATAACTATCAGATCAGGAGACCTCATCCCAAAGGAAAGGTGGGGAGAGCAAGAAGGGATCCTGTCACAGCTGGCCCACTGCTCTACTGACAGTGGGGACCCAAACTGGTGACAGTGCCTTGCTACTCACTGAGAAATAATAAGGCTAAGGAATTTCTTGTTGGGTACTACTCTGTTCTTACACATCTGGAGGCGAACATACCTTTTGCAACAAACTACATCTCCCTGAAAAGCAGGTACCCTAGAATAATGCACACCCACTGCATATCACAAAACACTGCTCTCGGAAGACACTGTGCTTAAAATTTGTCTGTAGAAAAAACAGAACTTCTAAAGTCCTATATTTTTACAAAGGAATAGGTTAAAGTCCTGTAATATTGCTAACTCAAGGAGTATGTGAGGCTTTGTCTCACCTCATTATGAAGGCCAACTGCTGAATAATTACAGAAGAATATCTAACCACAAGCAGCAACGTTTTGTCAAAAAAACTTACCATTTTCTGACTGCCACCACTTTTTTTTCCTATCTGGCTCAAAAGTTGTGATAACATTTTCAATCATGTGGCTGTTGTGTTGTGTATAGGGATTATATGGGTACCTGGAATCACAGACAAAGCACTTCTGTTCAGCCTAGAAAACAAAAAGAGCAGAATAAAAGATGAGTTTGGTCTCTTTTCAAAAGATTTGGTAGACATGTGTATTTGTGCGTGTCCAGGCTCTGGCCTGGAGTTAGGCAGCAGAGGCATTGCAGGGGAAGACTGGCTCCTTAAGGCCTGAGGGGCCCTTCGAGGGGAACATTCCCTACATTATTTATCTGTATTTTTCACTCTCTTTTGCACATTGGCCAGGAGCAGCAGACAGATGCTGTTGTACAGGTGGAAGGGAAGGCTGGATCCAGACAAAATATGAAAGGTCTGGGTTGATACCATCAACACAACCAGTGCCTTCTGTGGGGAGAATGGGGAACTGGGATGTCAGCAGCACCGAAAGTGGGGAATCAGGAGGCACCACTCCAGCACTTGTCCAAGGCTGATGGGTTGGCTGAAAACAGAAGGCAGTTCTGTGAGCAGAACAGGAGCAGGGAAAAGGTGCCTGCGCAGCATGCTCAGAACATGCAGGGAAACATAGGAACTGTCTGCACATCTCTGTATTATGAAATCACCTAGGAATTATTTACGTTTTAAATAAATATACAGATGAGAATTCAAAAGTGTGCTATAATCCACGTGTTTTAAATATTATGAAAAATACATATTATATTCAGCCATTCTACACTGTACTTTGTGATTTGGCCACAACAACCCCACACAGCATTATAAGTGTGGGGACGAGTGGCTGGATGATTGTGAAGAGGAAAGAGACCTGGGGGTGTTGGTTGATGCTCAGCTGAACATGAGTCAACAGTGTGCCCAGGTGGCCAAGAGGGCCAAGGGCATCCTGGCCTGCATTAGAAGCAGTGTAGCCAGCAGGAGCAGGGAGGTGATCATCAACCCATACTCAGCACTGGTGAGGCCATGCCTCGAGTATTGTGTTCAGTTTTGGGCCCCTCACTGCAAGAAAGACTCTGGAGCGTGTCCAGAGAAGGGCAACGAAACTGGTGAGGGGTCTGGAGCACAAGTCTTATGAGGAGCGGCTGAGGGAGCTGGGATTGTTTAGTCTGGAGAAGAGGAGGCTCAGGGGAGACCTCATTGCACTCTACAACTTCCTGAAGAGAGGTTTAGGTGAGGAAGGGTTTGGCCTCTTCTCCCAGAGAACAAACAGGACCTGGGGAAATGGCCTCAAGTTGTACCAGAGGAGGTTTAGGTTGGACATGAGGAAAAACTTTTTCTTGAGAGTGGTCAGGCACTGGAATGGCTGCCCAGGGAGGTGGTGGAGTCGCCGTCCCTGGCAGTGTTCAAGAGGCGCCTGGATGAGGAGCTGCGAGATCTGGGTTGTGCTTGTGGTAGCAATGGTAATGAGAAGACAGTTGGACTAGATCTTACAGGTCATTTCCAACCTTGTGATTCTATGATTCTATGTATGATGAAGTTACAATTTTTAAGACAAGGCAGAAGCACAAAAACCACTCATGTCATTTTACAAAGCTTCAATAAGGAGCGTTCTGGTTGTCTCAGCATTTGGTATTGTGTACACCCATGCTCTGATGTATACAGACACACTATGTGACACTCATTCCATTTATGTTTAAGGTTGCACCATGAAAATCTCTTTGTGCCCCAAATGATAAGCACGTGCGTGTCCTTGCAGGCACATATGACAGATCCCATCTGCCCTTGATGTACACAGCTTTGCACTCTGCAGTCCCAAGTCCTTTTCCTTTCCAAACACATGTAAGTGTAAGCCCAATTACAGGGCTAAAACCCATTTAACCTACTCTTAGAAACAAATAGAGGCATTATTCTAAATAAGGCACAGTTATCAAAAGATCAAAAGTGCTTCTTTTCAAATGCAAAGAAGTTGAACTTCAGATTCAGATTTTTCAATCTGAATTTTCATTAAAACATTCCAACCAAGTCTGGGCTTCTGGCAGCTTGCCACATTGACTGGCAAACCTTCATACACCAGGTTTGTTCCTGCCATGCTTCCCTTGTCATGACACAGGTCATCAGAAGGGGAATGTGGGGAGGAAGAATGCAAAGCTTCCTGGCTTGCCTCCAGGAGTACTGGTGGGAAGTACTGATTTCAGTGGAATTCTGTAACATACTTCAGGTAGCAGACACATAGAAGGAGAGCTGGTACAGCAAGTCACACTGCCAGAGCATAATCCAGCTTTGGGAAGCAGCAGGACTCGTAACTTGCATCACCTTCAGAAGGCAGTCACTGGGGGTCGAGATGTGTTGAGGCAGCAGTAAATCACAGGGATTACTGCAGGAACAGCTGTTCTTTTTCATGAGTCTGTATTTACATAATTCAAAGGATAAGTACAGGCAAGTGAAAAGATCAATTTTTTATCACTCTTTGATCTCATCTTAAAAAGAAAAAGAAGGAAGTCCTCCAGCCAAGGGCCAGAAGTGAGATGGCTCTTTGTGCTAGGCTACCAAGCTGAGCCAAGGCTCAGAGCACAGCCACAGAGAGCCCAGGATTCCTTTGTTTAAACAACCTGGGGAAAACATGCAAAAGGTGAAACGAAGCTCAAAAGCTTTCAGAAGTGGAAAGAACTGTTTACGTTTTGCAGAAAAATGCAATTGCAATGAGTAACTGGGAGCAGTGTTCAGTGTCATCTCAGTATGGCAGAACTTTATTTTGTAAATATTTCACAGCATTTTGCCAGAAGGTAATAAACTAAATATTTTTGATTGCTTATAAATGAAATGGTATTTTATTAACTTCCTCTTCACCCTGCAGATGGTATTTAGTAAAAATATTCCTGCTTGAGAGGATACATCAGCTTAGCAGGGCCAAATCTTGCAGGATGTGTAGCAAAGGAAGTCCACTTCTGCTGGCCACTGGTTCCAAACACCTGATGGACACAAAGGTTCCCCACAGGTGCTTCCCCAGGAGGGATCTGTTTGATTGCCCACATTTTATGTCTGCCTATCCACCTACATGGCCAAAGATTGTGTTTCAGATGTGGCTTTTCTGCTTTCATCAACATTGGTTTTATTTCACATCAAGTGATATGTGAGAATGGGGCATGAATCTCTTAACAGGCTGCTTTAAGTCTCAGCACTGTATGGCACACGTCCCCCAGCAAAGGCATGTCAAAGACCATGCCCATCCTGCTAAGCACACACACGCACACCACCTGTGGTCTTTGTCTCTGAGCAGGGAAAGACTGGCAAAGTAAAGCTCCCTCAGATATCCTTGTGCTCATTTGCATCTCATGGATGTTTCTCACTCTGGAGAAGCTGTGCATCACTGAAGGCCTTTTGCCAAATTGTCCTTATGTGCTGCAACGAGGCACAGCATTCCACCAGGCTTCTTTCATGCTATCTGATAATTATTCAGAACAAGACCACGAGAAGCTTCCCAGTTTGGGCAGCTTCCTTTTTCAGAAAAGAACATTGCTAGTCTGGAGAGTTCAGTTTATTAAAAATAAAAAGCAAACCAACCTCAAGGTAGCCTATAATGCAGTACTTCTGGGGGCTGTTCACTCCACAGGTTGAAGAGGCCACTAGTTGCTTGCTGCGACCCAAGAGGAGGTCTCCAACAGCCGGGTAGCAGGACCCAGCCCTGCAGTCATCCTGTGCCTGCCGGAGTCCCACCAGCACTGCGTGCAGAAGAAGATCAGCGAAAGATTAAACTGGTTCACATACTCAGCAACGCTCTCCGTGGAAAATCAGTGATGTTCTAACATCAGCAGAAAAGTAAATTGTCCTTTGTCTATTCTCCTGTCCTTAATCATATCACCTGATAGAATCTGGAAGAGCTTCACTCATGAACACACCTGCTGCTAAATCATTAAAAAAACAAAGCTAGCATATTGCACATGTACACTAAAACATATTCTCAGCATTTTGCTGTCCATAAAGATGCCAATCTGCTAGGACGTACTAAGCATTCCATCCTGCTATACCCAGAGTCAGCGCTGCAGCAGCAGAATCACAGGCATTACAACTGACTTTGTGAGCAGAGCCAAATTCTAATTCATTCTGCTGTTTTGTGCTGTGTTCTCAAAGTTGTATTGATGAAACCAAGGCCAAGTATAAAGTCAGAGGTGCCTATGATTTTCTGGTGATTTGCAAATCCTGCTCTGGTCCCAGCACTTTCCATTCAAAACCCATGGAATGGTCATTAATAATTGAACAGAACAATTTCAACTTCTGTAAATAATTGTGAGATTTTTTTTGTTTATTTTGCCTGAAACTACTTTAAATATTTTCTTCCAATATGTCAAGAGTTCCCTTACAGGATTTGTCCTTTTAAACAAGTTCTATCCTGAAACCCTGAACAGGAATGGGTACCTTGGAGGCTTCATCTACTTAGTTTTACTTGACTCAACTTGTTATAAAAAGTACAGTTAAAAAAAATATATATAATCAATACATGAAGATCCCACAGGAGCACGAAAAGCAGTAATGCAATTACAGCACTAAATATATTTACTTTGTGGGCTTTTTTTACTATGAATATTTCTACAAAGTACTGTAACAGACAGATTTGAGTTCATAGCTCAGGCTATACTTTAGGCATTGACTGAAACTTGACTTGCTAAGTATAAAGCAACGCATGTTTGGTTAATCTGCCCTTATTAATTTATCCAGGTTCACCATGTATTAGCTGTCAGCAGATAGTGGATGCCCCTTTCAGGAGCTGATTCAGGCTTAATTACAACACACACCTTTTGTTTGTATTTAAATGTTGCACATCACTCAGAGCTCCTATGCAGGAACAAGGACTCACAATCTCATGCATTTTAATTGTGTAGACAAATGAAGTACCCTAGAAGTCTTGGAGAAACATATAAATGACATGATAGTATTTCAAAATTGGCCCAAATAACTGTACTGCCCAAATACTTACTGAGGTGCAACAGAAGGGCCAGCCAAGCCTCATGTCTCTGCATGGAGCTCAGGCTGATCTGGCTGGAAGAGAAGAGCCAATGGGTCACACAATGCTCATCTGCCCCAGGGCACGCCTTGTGTGTGGGTTTTCATGGAGCTTTCAGCAAAGGGATGGAACCACAGTAAAAACACCAAGATTAAAAACACATACTGGTCTTGACTTTGTTCTGGTGGAAAATTCTCATGACAGTTTTTTTTCAGAATGGGATCAAAGCAGAGGGATATCTCACATGTACTTTTGCAAAAGACCATAAAACATATATATGCAGTTTAAAATAGAAATTAAATGCTATCAACAAAACTTCTGTGGTATTCAAATATAAACTATTTAATCCTAATTAGATTCAACAGAGCTATTTGCAGAGATCTAACTCCTCTCTAAGTTCTTGTTTCTTTGCATTGACTTCAAACAAAGCCAGAAATCCTAACATAAATGCTACTGAATAATGCCTAAAGTCAGGTGATAGAGATTTTGGTCTCAGTAGAGATACAAGTATAACCAAATATTTAAGTGCAGTGAAGAAAAATAGATAAAGTTACTATAAATGCAAAAGACTTGTTTGGAGGAAACCTCAGAACCCATGGGAGGATTGCTGTGGCTTTTACTTCACATCCTTCCTACTAACATTCTTGCAGAGGAAGGTGTGATTTGCTAACACAAGAACTCTATTGGAAAAAAAAATAAAATGGCAGAAATGGATGGAAAATATGGCCAGCATCCTTCCACCATATAGAGCTTCCAAACCACAGCCTGACTTCACTTTTGTGTCTCCCACCTCTTTCTCCATCTGTAGGCACTGATGGAATCATCATGTTCTGATGCCACCCTGGCTGCTGGGGTATCCCTATGTGTCACCCCAAAGTGTCTCAGACAAAATACCCCACTGTGTCAGAACAGAGCAACTGTTCACATAAGCAAAGGCATTCAAAGTATTTCAGATTTTACAGGCTCCACATAGGCTTGGTTCACACAGCTTCAATCGGTACATGAGAGAATAGACATGCCTGTGTGGCTGTTTCAGCAATCAGGAGTAATCTACTTATCTTTGTAATTATATGCCCCATTCACACTCCATACCAATGATATTCTTTAAACGTGACTCACTTAAGCAGACAACCAAAGACCAGCAAAACCCCAACACATTTCAGTTTCACACTTAGCAGGAAAATTAAATACTGGAGATGTCTTACCTGTATTTCAAGCAGCCGAGTGCTTCAGCTGGAAGTGAACTGCACAGAATGCAAGAAGCAAGTAAAGGCATACCTGTGCACTTCAGCTGAACAAGATCGTGTGTCCCCTGAGGCACCAAGGTGTAGGTGAGAATGAGACCTGGCCTGCAACCTGCCAAGGGGGTGATTTGTGAAGTCACTCTGATGGGGCTTCTGGCATTAGCAAGTATGTGCAGTGAAAGAATATTGTGACAGGCAGAAAAGGTTCTTACAACTTCAATGAGAAGATAAGGATTCTTAAAAACCCACGCTAATTGTTGTTAGCCACATCTTGGAGCCTTCACCACTACTTAGCATCAGAAGTCCACTGGTACTGGTTTAATTAAGTGCAGAATAAAAACAATTCCTCCTCACAGCAGAGGGTGCAAAGCAACAGAAAGAGCAGGGTTTGGGCTTTGGGGTGACTGCAAATACGCCTGTTCAAAAGCTATGACCAAAGCCATGTGGATGTAACAAGTCAGCTTCAAGTTAACTCAAACTCTGGGTCAATGGCATGAACATTATTTCCTTTTTTTTTTTCCGACCAAAAGCTAAAGACACCACAACAACTTGAGTACAGCCTCAGTGCTGACTTTCAGCAGACGTTTTTGCCTGTACCCTCACTTGCAAGCACCTGCAGTGTGGCGCAGGGCCTACACCGCCATCTTGAGAAGCGCTGTGAAGGAGCAGCTCCAAGATGGCGCACACCCCCTTGTGCTCAAGCAGCAGCCATTTGTGGATGGCTTTGTCAAACCTGTAGCACGTTGATTTCAATTTTCAGAACAGTATATCACCTTAGATACATATTTTTAGTTTTGATCTACTTGTTATTAGTCCTTCTCTGTCTGCCTGTAAGGCCTCATTCACGGCTGTCTGTAAAGTATCACACCCTCAAACAGAAAGTTTTCTAAATGTGCAAAATACATCATAAACTAAATGCTGCTTTTCTTTTGATAGCTCCTATCCTTTTAGAATAACAAACAAGCAAACAATAAACAGATGGATGATCCTACTGTAGTGTTCAGTGCTGTGTCCTCTGTTATTACTTCGAGAACTCACTCTAGCAGAAATAATGCATACACTTACATTTTTGGAAATTATCTTCCACAAGTGCACATGTAAATTAGTTGTGGGAGACGTTTTTCAGGCCAATTTAATCTGCATTTTGTTTGCATTCATATCTGACCAACTATTTATTTAAATTTCTCCATCTTATACAGATTATTACTTATTCTTTGAAAATTAAAAAAACCAAAAGACTAAGTGATAAATTAAGATATTAATTCTACTTTTTATCTGTAAGCAGTATGTCAAATGCATTCTGAAAGAATGACACCTAACTGAAGAAAGCATTATTATTGTGATGCTACTAAATTATAGAATGGTTGACATTTTATCAGCACATTTGGTAGGGAATTCAGATTTTGTTACAGAGAAGTTATGTGAGAAGTAAATATGAAGGAAGATTTATTTCCAGAATATTGCTGGTCCTGTGTTTTGATTTATGTCGGACCCTGAACAAGAAAGAGGTTTTAAAATGCTTGAGGCAGGGATTAAGGAACTTCTATCTCACTTCTTTAATCTCTCCCCTGGTAAAGGATCTGGATTTATAATGCTCACTCGTCCCATGCTGGCTGGAGGGTAGACAGCATTGGTGCATGATTTTTCAAGTCATCACAAGTCTTACAGTTGCAATTTCTTAGGTCTTAGAAATATCCTTAACAACAAAGGAAAAGAACTGCAAGCACTTGGCCATATTTTCATTTCATAGACACCAAACAGCAGTGAAGAAATGGAATGGGCAGAGGCTGCAGCCTTGGTGCCCCAGTCACACTTCAGTGTGTGGCACCAGCCCGTGTAGGTGTGCACTGCTCTTCCATTAATATGTTGAATAAACACCTCTATGGGTATATGTTTTTTTTTCTCTTCAATGAAAATGACAAAAGTATCAGAAAAAGTATATAAATAATTATGCTTTTCTTTAAAGTCATGATATGAAATAAAATAATTTGAGCCTGGGATTTTTCTTGCCAACAGAAAAATAAGTACCTCCTCTAAACAAGTCACCTGGGCCTCCTGGAGCCAGGGGAGAAAGACAGGGACTCCTGCGGGGTTCATCCTACCACATCTTTTAGATACTTACCTAGAAGGATATATCACCCTCTGGAGGTATCTAATGCTTTCCTCTAGATAAGTGCAGCCCCATTCACAGGCAGTGTTCCTGTGTTATAAACTGATCCACTGAGATGAATCCCATCCATAAAGAACTAAGCCAGAATCACAAATGAAATGGTCTGAAAAACAAAACCATCTTGCTACATTTCTGTCTTTCCACTTTTATTTCTGCTCTGATTTCTTTCAGCATTCCTTTTGTTTAAAGCGTGATTTCTCACACGCAAGGAGTGCGTATTTTTTGCTATTCCACATACTGACAGAATGTAGCATTGGATAACAAAAGCAGAATAAAGCATAAGCTCACAAGAAGATAAGAGATGTA